CCCTCTATGGGTGTTGGCAGAATCCCATCTCAGCTTAACAGCTGGATGGTAGGATATTGTGCATAGCTGAAGCCCAGTTTCCCAGCTAGTGTTCCCCTGAAAGCAAAACCTTAAACGAAATTTTATTTGGAAATATGATTCCAGAAAGCAATGAGAATAGGGGTTGTAAGTCAGGGAAGGAGTGAGAAAGAGGTATTACAAGATGTATTGTAGAGTTGGCTACTCTTACAGGGTCTGTTTGTTCTGGGACCATTTGAAAAGCCACATGAAATACACTTAAGAACTGCCTTCAGATGGAAGAAAGGAGGAAGCATTTGTTCACAGCGTCCAGGCTCCTATCAGTCAAAGATTTCATTGTTAACTTCCCCGCATCTCTGGGTAGCACACTCACAAGTGCTAAGTGGGTTCCTGTGGGTATCTCAGAGAATAGTTCCAGAAATTGTGGCACAGGAAACAAGAGCTGCAGAGCCTGTCTGAGGAAAGACACCACGGATGTCCCCTGTATGCAATCTGAAGAAGCATGCTTGCAAATTGTCCCCAGGGCCATGGATGACATAAGAGGTTAGGCTGAGAATATTTGAAGTGGTACACAAGAGGCATCTGTTTTATTTGTATGCATTCAACCAGCAAGGTGCTCTTACCACTCCCTTCCTCTCTCTGGGGTGCTGCAAATGGATCCGGGGGTGGCATGAAAAGCTAAAATCCTCAGCATACATTTCTTCAAGATTCTCTCTGCTGTTCTCCTGCCCATAGAAGTTTTTCTTAATGTCATTTCATCTCCCAGGAGATAGAAATGGACGATTGACCAATTTTCTGAGTGAGTACAGACCATCTGGAGCAGGCACCTGGGAGGGATGAGCCACTTTATCTTCTTTGAGGCTTCTTTGCATCTTTTAGGCAGCAACACATGATTCAGTATCAACCACTGATTACGATTCTTATTTCAGCTTCTTGTGTCTTGTAATCAGAGGAAATTCCTCTTGGATTCACACAATAGCTTGGTTGCCAGGTGTGCTCACATGTTTCCAGCTTTGACTACATATTTGTAGGTATTTTAAAGGACAGTGGGGTGGGATGGAGTCAGTCCTCATTATAACCTGGAATGGGGGTTTACTTCTTGACCTTGCCATGCCTCACCTTAATAGAGAAACAGATTCATCTTCTGTCTCAGCACATGTATCTGTTAGTCTCCTCATCATTCAAAAGGAAATACTAATTCACTTTTTGGCTCAGCTGGCTCTTAAACTCGCGCTCCAAATTCAACCAGCAACTCAGAATAGCTATTTCACCGGTTCTGGGCTAAAAGCCTCTAGCTCATGGGTACTCAGAGAGAAGAGAAAACTTGTTTATATAATACTTAAGATTCTGAAAACCTACACCTGGCTTAGGTCTGACTTGCAGAGAGCCGTGTAGCTGGGCCCCTTCATTTTGGTCTTTCAGTGAAGAGCTTTCACTGAATTGTTCTATGGCGTGAGGCCATGAGTCTTCAGGGAGAGGAATCCATTTTGTCAGTGAAGGATGTTGTTGAAGCCATTATTTATTAAGGGGACTCATGAAAAAAATTTCTTCTAAGCTCTATAGCAGGAATATTTTTTATTTATTCTGATCAAGGGATTATTTTTCCCTTTTGGACATTGACTAATTGACTGTGTTCCCCTTTTGTGGGAAATGGGCAGTGCTGCTTTTTCAAACCTCTTGATCCAGGTATATGGCAGGTCTTGGGGTATGACCCTGTTCCTGGCATCATCTTATCTGTTCTGCCTGGATTTTCTTATGTTCTTCTCACCTCTTCTTTTTATATAATTGGCCTTTCTAGGTATCAAAGTAATATAACATTTATAAAATATAGAAAATTATAAAGAACAAAAATTACTTGTGTTCCCTATGATGAAAGATAACCACTGTTAATATACTGGTGTAGTTTTTCATACATTCATATATTCAATTTATTTTCTCTATGCATCTGTACTTCTCTGTATATTTCTCTATTCCTGTACTCCAAATGTCCTTGAATAACTAGTTAAATTTTGTTCCCATGCCTTTTCAATAGACTGGGAAAACTGATGCCCTCCTCAGTTTATGTTAATTTCCAGGGGGTTATAATCCCATGCTCTTCTCTGTCTCCAGTTGTTCCGTTTGTGAGTATCATCTCCCTGTGGGTGCCATGTCTCTACTGCATGTCAATGATGAGTCCAGGCTCAGTCCTTGCATTAAATTTCAAGAGAAAGCCACTCAGGCCAAGCCTTCGTTGAGTCTTGTTGCATATCCTAGAGATTAAGTGGTCAAAAAATTTCTGAAATTAACTAATGTGGTTTCTTTATCTCACCAGCTGCTTCTGCTTCTATTCCTATTCTTTTCTTCTTGCCACCTGCAAACCCTGTCAGAGGGAATCAAATCCCTCTTCTTGGCTTCTGCATGGTATGTTGTTGACCTTATCCCGTGTCTCCAGGAATCTGAGGGCTTCTAGATCCCCTGGAGTTCTGACGGAAGGCTTGAGCCTTTGGAATTAAAGGAAGATCTTAAATCAAACCAGAGCTACCAATCAAGGTGCTCCTAGGTCTGACATGGGCTCACACTCCAGGTCTAGCCACACAGGAAGGCCAGGCTAGGACCTACCTGGACAGCCAACAGACATATAAAGAGAGCTGTGCCACTATTATCAGTCTCGCTCCAGGATGGCAGCACATAGGGTGGGATGTCCCTCACAGATAACGTTGATCCTTAGTATCACTGTGAGAACACAGGACTTGAAGCACCCAAAACAGCTTAGCTTCAAGTTCAGGGGTACTATGGGGGTGTCAAGGAAGATAAGGGATATTTATTTAAGCATATTTCCATGGAAATATGACAACTGTATGCTGTTAAGTGAGAAGAAGCAGGTCTCAGAGTATATATTGGTTGATACCACCTACGTAGAAAATGTGTATGTTTATGCATAGAAAGGTCTGGAATGGCATAAAAATATTAACAGGTACCTTTGAGAAGTGGGAACTTTCACCTTTTGCCTTAAATAATTTTATATTGAGTCCTTTCAAGTGAGTATGTGCTACTTTTATCATAACACTTTAAAAGCAATTTCCATTTTGGGGAAAAATGATATGTCCTAAAGTATTTTTTTTTAAGTAGGAGTTATTTAAGATTTTTTTCCTTCTTTCTAGTTTTCTTTCTCCAGTGTCATATATTACATTTGTGGCCAAAGAATAAATGTAGCAGGCAGACTAAGTGAGATTAATACGACCGAGGACAAGGTGACAAGATAATTAGCCGGCTGGACACCAGGTTCTCCACATCGTACCCAAGCTGGGAAGCACATGTTCTCTAGACTCTGTGGCCTGGGAGGCCTGGTGAGCCATCTAAGTTCCTCAGGCATTAGAGCTCTGCCAGGGTTCCCAAGGCTGCAAGAGAACAAGGTGAACCCTGCGCTCCACCCCCACGGCTTGCGTTTCCAGCTCAGGCTGTATCTGGACACATACAAAGAATTTGGGAACCAGTAAACTCCAAGGAGTCAGGTTCTAGTTATTTCTTCTGCTCATCCAGAAGAAAATAGAGGACATATACATCCAACTGAGAGGTTGGCAGCCTCATGTCCCAGTTTGAGCACTGGTTTGTCCCAGTTCCTTTTGGGCTCGTATCTGTTCCCCTCTAATAACAACAGCATTAAAAATAGTGCTTGCCTAATTTTAGCATGTTTTACAATCACCTGAGGCACTTGCTGAACATGTAGATTCCTAGCTCCTATCCTGGACCTATTGAATCAGACTCTATATGTTGAGTAGTTTCCCTGGTGTAATGATGTAGGTGACCCATGGATTACACTCTGAGATTATAGTGTTAAAGTGTGCATCAGGCACCATTGGTTTCATACCTAAGCTCAGCGTTTTTTTTTTTTTTTTCCTTTTGAGACAAGGCATCACTCTGTTGCCCAGGGTGGACTGCAGTGGTGCAGTCTCAGCTTGCTGCAGCCTCAACTTCTCAGGCTCAGGCAATCCACTCACCTCAGCCTCCTGAGTAACTGGGACTACAGGTGTGTGCCACCACGCCTGGCTAATTTGTTTGAACTTTTTGTAGAGATATGGTCTCATTATGTTGCCCAGGCTGGTCTTGAACTCATGGGCCTAACTAATCTCCCACTTTGGTCTTCCAAAGTGCTGAGATAACAGGTGTGAGCCACCATGCCTGGCCAACCTCAGTATTTTCTGGAAAATTGAGAAGAGGGGTCTATGTCAAGAAGCAGAATCCCTGCCCCTTGATTCTGAGTATTCCATGTAACTAGCTGCGTCCAAGGGGATGTTGCAGATATGATTCAAGCAAAGGTATGGCAAAATATATATGTGATTGGACTTTCTCTCATGCTCCTGCTATTATCATGAGGAGCATATGCACAGGCTACCTCGTTGGTGCCAGGAGGAGGGTAAAGAAAATAAGGTGCAGGGATATAACAGTTCACATGCCCCAGCGAAGCCTTGCCTAGAATAGAGCCCTTAGCCAACACGTGAATGAGCCTAGCTGAGATTAGCTGAGCTCAGCCTAGATCAGTTGAGTCTTAGGTGGCTGCTATCAAATAATATTTTTGTTTCAAGTTACTGAGTTTTGGGTGGTTTATTATGCAGCCATAGCTAGCTGATACATTTAGGCAACTTGTTAGCAATGCAGACCCTGAAATTGTGATTCTCTGGGCTTAGGAATCTGTATGTGTAACAAACTTCACAGTGATTCTGATGCCGGTGCTCTATGAACCACACTTGAGAAACACCACTTTACACCCAACCCTTTTACTAGCTCAATGTGCAGTCATGGAAAATCCCCTGATATTTCTGAGCCTCAACTTTTTCATCTGCAAAGAGGGAATAATATGTATTTCCTGTGATGTAAGGATTAACTTAAATATAAAGAAACCTAGCTGATAATATTTTTTTTCTCCTCCTCCTTCAGCTTGTCCCCACCTCATCCCTACCCAACCTCAGGAAGACACCAGTACGAATATCTTAGGAAAACATGAATCTCAGGGTCACAGCTTTATTGTATAGATTTTTTAACACAGCCATATTACAAACATTGTCAGGGAACATTTACAAGAATAAATAAGATGGACTTGCAGGTGTAAAAAGATTACACTTCACTGTAATGTACAGTCAAAAAATATATCTGATATTCATTGACCTGACATTATTTACCTTCTGCTTTTTTAAGCTAGAATTGAAAAGAAAAAAAAAAACATTGACAGCACAGTGCTGGCTTTTTTAAAAAGTTGATTTATTTTGTTTTCTCTTCTCATACGTGCTTTATCTATCAAACACCCAAACTGTACAAGTGCAGGCCATTGGGATTCATGGAGGAGGCTTCAAACAATGTGGAGACTTTGGTCTCATGCAATATCATATGCCCAGTGGATGTGAAGATGTCAGCCTCCCTGGAGTTGAGCGGGAACCTTGGGATAGCCTGTGAGGGTGTTCAGAAGCCAAGGCAATGGTAGAGGCCACAACTCTTTGTCTTTGATTGGCTAGTAGAATGTAGGGTGAAAAGTGCTTTTGAGTCTGATTACCAATGTGGGTTAACCTGGATTTACATGGGCTAACTCAGGATCCACCTGGTGATGAAATGTGTGCACTGGAAATGATTATAATCATGTGTAAATTGAGTTACTGTGCTTTTGCTTTTGCAATCTGCTCCAACAGGCCTTGAATAGGGAGTGGGGTAGAAATAACCTCTGGAGATAATGTATATGGCAAGCAAAGCCCTGGTCTGTGTCCTGCTTGGACCTTCACTGGTTTTGGCTGTCACTCATGGCCCTTTTGGTCAGTGGGTCTGAGTTATGGCTGCTCTCATCAGAGATCTACGTGGGTATTGGGTCTATGGCAAAGTGGCTGTTCCCTATGGTTTGCTGTTTGGTGATAACCAGAATGGATCAGCCCAATATATGCAGCCACAAGAGCATGTTGGCCTGCTCAGTGAGGAGACTTGGACGGGGGAGCAGGGGGCTTCAACCTGTACAGACCAAACACACTCTACTTGGATTTGTGCTCTACAGGTATGAATGAGTTCAAATGTGATTCCAGCTCCACAAGATCTCACCCATCTAGAATGGAAGTGACCTGAAATCCATTTCAGCAATGCTCCTCTTCCCTTTAAAGAGACACCTGGCATTTTTTAGACAGCTGCCGAGATGGGCAGCTTACCCTCTCTGGCAGACAGCAGGTCTTCCTTACAGCTATTAAGTTTCACTCATGGGTCCTAGTTATACTCAGAGGAGTGACCTGGGTCTAGCAAACTGTGCTTGACTTCATCCAAGAATCAGCAGACCTATGGAGTATATGGACACCGTATTCTGCCTGATGCCTCAGAAGCCTGATTTTACATGGAATGACACCACTTTGCCCTCTGAGCCTCCAGAATGCCCTGGGGGCTTTGACCCAAAGAACACCTGACAGTATTCATCTTCCATGGGAGATACAGGGACAGGGTGGGCACTGAGAGTTTGTTGGACCATCATAGAGAAGGTCCACTGATTTGTATTCATAAGCCCAAAGGCACTGAAGTAATTGTACAGAGACTAAATTTGTAATTTTGGCGGGTTACTTCCTATGACCCTTTCTCCTCTACATCCAAGAGTCCTGCTCACTAAGGAACCATGAACTACATTAATTACCCTGAGCTCCAGGCTTTTATACTGATACTTTTCTGTCCAACACTTCAAGGCCACCAGACACTCATTCTCTGAACATTCCAATCAAGGATCAGAGTCCACATCCCACCACCCAGAGCAGTTCTCAGATACAGAAGGAAGCCCCATAACGATCCAGCCCCTAAAAGTCTTCCCAACAGATTCTCTTTCATCCTGAGCCCTTTTACTTCCCTTGTATGTGTCCCAGTGGACCACCACTGAGCTCTTACATAGGTGGGATGCTAGGTTTGGAGGCTACCATTGTGAGTGCTGATGCCTCCTTTTAGAGACCTAACATTCATGGGTGGATTTTCAGTTGGTGAATGTAGCCCCTTTGATGACCTTTTCCCATCTTTTCTAGAGGTGGGATGCAAAAGACTGGCTTGATCTCTACAAGACAACTGTATAGTCAGTGCCATGCAAAAGCCCATCCCTGGTTACTAAAAATCTAGAAGAGTCTGCTCATGTGCACAAATATGGCTTAGATGTCTTTCCTGTGCTTCTGAGGATCAGATCCATGATCCTGAAAAATGTGTCAGAAGAAACTGGGGCTAGAACAGCTCCCCCCATGCTCCACCACTAACCTCTCTCCCTGTTGTTCAGACAGTCTATGACCTCAAAGGCAGATCCCTGCAAGAGGAAGCCAAGGTCTTGCATTCTATCACTTCTAGACATGTATACATGGAAAACCTCCAACAGAGAACCCTTGCATGGGAGCTTGTCTATCAGCTTGTCTCTTCTAGTTGGATTTACTTTTCCTATTTCCTTGTTTTACTTGGCTGTGATTCAAAGCTGGTCATAGAGTGAGAAGGAGCTCACACTGTTAAGTAATGAGGAAGGCAAGTCAGGGATTTGAGATGACGTGACTATCCATGTTTATGTTTTTTTTCTTCCACCCTCCAGTTGGGTTGACCATTTTTTTTCCCCTGGGGATCCTGGCCCAGCACAACCTGTTGACATGACTTAGGACCAGTATCGTGTTCATGCTTCCTCTTGGGCTCACCCGTGTCTTCCATAGTGTTACTCCTGATTTAGCTTGGTGCTGATGACCTGTTTACCCAGCCCAGCGGTGGCCAGCTGCAGCCTAAGGAAGGGTGGCTTTCTTCATTCTGTCCCGAGGCAGTGAGGTACCAGGGAATTATCATTTCCTTCAGTGTCTCTGGATCTGGGTAGGGTAGTCACTCCTGCAGAGATAACAGGATAAGGGCCTGGCTGCTATTCCCTGGGCCTCACTTCTGTTGTGTAGAGCAGTCTTACTGGACTGACACCTCTATGTACTCTAAGGGGTTCCCACCAGCGCTGAGGGAATGTAGATCCTGCTGAGGACATACAGCAAGAGCTAGTGTGGCAATGGGGAGTGGAAGATGAATAAACATGATGGGTCAGAGGGAAATTCATCATCTTTTGCCCCAGACACTGAGATTTGCCCTTGCTCCAACTGGCTCTGCCAAGCTGTTACCCATCCTTTGTCCAGCTATGTCACAGAAGTGACCACTTCGCTAAATAAATCATCTGCATCCTTGGTTCTGAGTATTCATTGGGTTCCAGTTTCCTGGCCTTGCCTTCCTGTTTTCCTGCCTAAAGTGCTCTGAATCTACCCCTTCTAATGTTGATGAGGGTCCTTTTTTCATGTATGTTTTTACATTAATTGGTTGGCCCAACACTGTATGGCCAAGAAATGGCAGGGTTGGGATTCAAACTAAAGACTGAGCTCTGTCTACCACAACCCCATGCCTTACCCAGGAATTAATTGTGCCACAGTAATCTCGGTTTCCTAATAGTGCTCTCTCCAAGGTTCTATGTGCTGTAGGCAACCAGTAAGTATATGTGGCCAGGGTAAAGCGAGGAACCTTCCAGACCCCAGCTGCTCATGAAGTGTGTCCTCAGACTTGCCCACATTAGCAACCATGTGACTCCACTTGGACAACAGGCACCACTTTCCAGCCTAGCATTCAGGAATATGCTGAGTACAGCTGTGTCCAGCCTCTCCTTTCCTTTTAGGGTTTTGTGGGCTCATCCTTCTCCACGCCAGATGAGCAAATCCTCATCATTCTAGTGTGAGTCAATGGGTTCCTTCCAGCACCCAACTGGAAGATACCTGAGTTGAGGTCCACTCATGAACAGTGAGGTCAGAGCATCTGCACACCAAAGGAGCTGCCTAGGAGAAGGTCAGTTGGTCTTGATCTTGCCTGTAATTGGCTCTGGGAGGCAGCAGGGCCACTGCTCCTAGAGTCAATTCTAGGGTCAAGTTCAAGACCAGCTGACCCAGGGTCCGTCATAGTGAGGTGAACAGAACAGAACAACATGAGGAACAGAGCACATTTTTTTTTTGAAATATTCATACAGTCATATTAAAACCAACCAGGCTAAATCAGAAAGTGGAATGCAAATTTTGCATGAATTGTTAAAGTAAAACATGAGACTATGAAGGAATTTTAAGCTTACTGTTGTTTGCTTTGAGCTGTATCTACTGAGATAGCCGTTCCACTCTAGTCTCTTCTGTTACGGATAACCTCCTGGGAAAAATGTGAGATACAATGGTGGAAAAATAGTCTCTGTAGTGAGAAAAAACCAGTTTAAATCCTGGTTCTTTCACTCACTAGCTATGGAACTGTGGGCAAGTGATTTCTCCCCTAGGAGCCTTACTTTCCTCATCAGTAAAATGGTGACAATCACAAACCCTCCTTTAGAATGTTGGAAGAATTTAATGAGCTCACACATTACAGTCCCCAGCATAGGGTCTGTTGGTTCCTTTGCAGGCCACACCCACAGAGAGGGCCAGCACTAAAAGCAAGCTGTCCCTTTCCATTCCCACAAAGGCCTACTGTGGCCTTCTAGAGAACCAAGGGCCCCTGGTTGGCCTAGATTCTTCACCCCAGAAAGGATGCAATGTTGGAGTGCAGCTAAGATACATCCTGTAGCTATCTAGGCCATAAACACACACAAATGGAGAAAGTTCCTGGGCTTCTCTTTACTTCCTTGCATCTTCTCCAAACAGGGTTCACATCTATGAGGTGAGAGCTCCTGTTGTAAAGACTCAGAGAGCACTAATAATATTTTCCTCTCCTCACGACAGGCTGAGCTCACCCTGTAAATGGGGTGGGGTGGGGAGATCCCCTGGGGGAGGTTGTGGTGACTCCAGAGATTTCCTGGGTAAAGGAAAATGTTCAAATTCCTGGGCACTGGTGCCCCATCTCATCCAAGCCTTGCCACATCCTTGTCTCATGGGATCTTAGGAAGTCATCCCCATCTGTGAGCCTCAATTTCTTCCTGTGTGCACTGGCTTAAGACCTATTCACTGCCTTGCTTTCTTTGGAGAATGGTTGGGTTGTGGGAAAACAAGGGGATGAGCTGGGGGAATCATCACTGGTCCTTGCTGGGTTACCCCACCATGGCCTGATATATATATATATATATATATATTTTTTTTTTTTTTACAAGTTTTTTTCTTCTTAAAGTCACACTTTAAATTCCTACCATTTAAAATGATAGAAACTGCTGTCATGTTTATCTGCCAGCTATTACACCCCTTCCTGAGCAGAAAAAAAATGTTAGGATTTGTGTTAAATAGCTCTCCCTCCATCCTCATGCTGTCTGGATGTACCAAGATCTGAGATAATAGCCTACAGCAGGTGGATTTGCCATGCTCCAGGCTCCTTGCAGGCTGGGGAAGGCCAGCTGGGGCAGTGGGCTGGAGCCAAGGGAGGCCAGCAGGCCCAGTGTGGGTGGGTCCCCGGGGTCTGCTGAAATACACCTGGGGAGAGGCTCATCAAAGGAAAAGAGCAAGTTCATCGCGGGGTTCCTTTGCTTGCCTTTGCTTTGAGGCTCTTCCTTTTGAACCTCTAAAGTGACAGCCCTTCCTTGATCAAGTCTGGTGTCCCTGGACTTCTAGACAGCTCCAGAGCCCATGCCAATGGAAGCCACTTTTGTGGGCTCCTTTCATGTTCCATCCTCATGGGCCTGGAGATCTGGGTTGGTGACCCTGCTCCGTGGTAAAGCAGAGACCCTGGGTTTCTCATAGAATCCGAGTCTCATGATCCACTGTATATTTAGTTCCAGCAACAAAACAGTGAGCAGACAGACAAAGAGATGTGATATTAAAAAGTACACACTTAAGGGAATGTTTTCACAGTGTCTGATGAAAGTAAAAGAGGCAGCCCCATTGGTCAGAGGGAGTCTTTGCCAACACGAAGCTGAGTACATCTCTCTAAAGCTCCGTGGACTCCTTGTTTCCAATAGGACAAAGTCTGCACTTGCGATGGGCCTCTCTCTCCTGGACCCTGGCTCATCCCTGCTGCTCCGCCTGTTGTGCTGTGCCCGCACTGGGCTGGCCTCCCCCAGACTGCTCCTCCCGATGCCTTTTCACATTTCTTTGCCATTGCACATATGGATCCCTTTGCCTGAGTTTCCTTTTTGTTCTTTTTCTACCTGTTAAGACCCAGCAGGAACGGATGTCCCCTTCCCCAGGAAGCCCTAGGCCAAAGAGACTTTCTTGCTCCTAGGCTCATGGAACACTCATCCACTCCACACTACTGCACCGTGGTTCAATTTCCCCAGCATACAGTGGGCTCCTGAGGGCCAAAGCTGTGCCTTCTTGGGTTCTCTGCCCCTCATGCCCTGTCTGGGGCTAGACCAGCCTTCAAGATGGAGCTTCCTCGGTCCCAGCCCACCTGAGGCTGTCAGATACTGGGCCTAAGCACTGGCTAGAGATCAAGATCGAGAGTGTCCCTGGCTGGTCCCTTCATAGCCTGAGGGAACAGGGAATTGTTTTTACTGACTAAGAAATTAGATGAGACTGGCTTTCCTGGGGAGCTGGGAATGTGTTACTAAAATATATATGAAATTCTGGGCTTCCCAGAAGAACTGGCATCAGGAAGAAAGTACTAAATTTCCATTTGTAGAGGAGTTCTCTGCTCAGAAGTTTCTGGCCTTATTTTCCCTCCATAAAATAACTGCTTGACTTAGAGAACATGAGAAAAACAGCACAGAGAAGTCTCACTGCCATTACCTGCCCCTTTGGAACCCAGGATTTCAACACTGAGGAAGGTGCCTGGGTTTCCTCATTGGAGGAGATGATCAAATGGGGATGGTAACAAGCCAGTAGCTCTCTCCTGGGGGTTCTAAGGACTGAGTGGAATGTCCTGTGGAAAGTGCCAAGCATGATCCCTGGCATACAGTAGAGACTTAGCAAATGTTGGTTCCCTCTCACTGACTCACACTTTGGACAAGACCCTAGATCTCCGGGCCTGATTCTCTTGACCTATTTTAAATCAAAGTATAATGGGCTCCACAATGGCCTTTTTCAAGGTGGCTGCTGGGTTTCTTTAGGAAGGAGTTCAAATTTGGAGAGCCAAATTATGCCCAAAGCTGGTGCTCTATCTGCCCCAGAAACCAAAGGGACCATCTTCAGGCTCGCCCATCTCTCCCTTGCTCAGTGGCATGCTGTCCCGGGGTGGGAGCTTTTAAGGACATTGCCAGGAAAAAATAAAAGGCCCAAGAGATTTGTCTTAGAGGTACACACTCAAACTCCCCCGCCCCTTTCTTTTTGACACAAGAGACTAAGATTTTACACCCCTCAAAAGAAAGTTTCTTTTCACATACACTTTGGAAAATAATCAGATCTTGTTTGTCTCTTCCAAAGAAAGCTACCACCAAAGAGACACACGGGTTACATCCTACAGGTCAGCCTGAGTCCTGCCCCGGGGAGGTGGTCCCTTTTTACAAAGACAAGGAGGAGCAGAGAAGTTCCCTGCAGTTCCACCCTCTCCCACTGACCACACAAAAAAGCAAAGAACACCTTTATCAAAGAGTGCTGTGGACACAGCTGGCCGGCCAGTGAATGCTGGACAGTCAAGGCCCAGGCTGGGGAAGGGGTACAGAATGGTTGTGGGCCAAGCCCCATGCAGGTTAGGTGTGAGGATGGGGGCCTCTCTTGTGACCTAGGGAACATTGTAAGGTCACACTGGTCCAGACTGCAAATGTCTGGTGCCAGAGGCCCTTGAAGGAGGTTGCAGGGGGCAGCAGAGCAGTGACCCCCAAGAGCCCCAATCTTTTCCATGACATGGAGGAGCAGAACACACATCTCCTCCACTCCCAAGGAGAAGGAAGGCAGGGGAGCTTCCCATTCCCCAGCACCTGCACAGTCGGCTTGCCACGAGATCCACAAACTCAGAACAAAAGCAGGAGGTCTGGGAGCCAGAAATCCAAGGCCTTGCTTGTGGGTGTACTTCTGCTTGGGCCCGTGGCTGTGGCTGGTTAGGTTGAAAAGGAAGCCTGGGCCTTTTGGAGCAGCATCTCCCACAGCAACAGGAGACCCCTCAGAAGGTGCAGAGCCCCCCGTGGAACACAGGGCCACCAGTCTTCTCCTTGGAGTCAGGCAGGGTGCCACCACCTCGGAGCCCCTGAGCCCAGTTACTGCCATTCACACAAAAGGGGGTTTGGTCACAGCAGCCTCTGGACTCCGGCAGGTTCCCCATCCCACTGAGCTAAAAGGAGCTTAAGTATTCCAGTGCCACCTCGTATACAAATTTATACTGTTCCTGAGAGGCGGAGAGGAGGAGAGGCAGAGAGGGAGAAGAGGAGACAAGAGAGATGAAAAAGGAAAGGGAAAATGCATTTAGTTTAGAGATACAGAGTTTGGAGAAAACTTTATCTACATCCACATTATGTCAACTCAAAATTACCCCTATCTGGACATCCTTCAAAATTCCGCTTGACGGCTGCTTCTACCCAGGCTTCCTCGAATGCCCAGCTGGCATCATTCCCTTTCTTTTTTACTGTTTTGTACAACAGTGCTTCTCAAACTGTAATGTGCATACAAGGCAGCCAGAAATCTTTTTAAAATGCACATTCTGATTCAGTAAATCTGGAGTGGGGCGCAAGATTCTGCATTTCTAACAAGCTCCCAGGTAATGATGCTGCTGCTGGTCTGTGACCCACGTGCTAATAGGGCCTCATTTTGACCAAGACCACACCTGGAGTAGGTTTAAAGACATATTAAAGCTCCTCATGCATGGTGCAGTGGCCCAGCATGGTACCGGCCGGGTCTTACCATCAGGGGCTTGGCCCGCACGCCCTCTTTGCCGCACTTGCCTCCACAGTGCTCTCTACTGCAAATGCTCTCTATTGTAAAAATTAGCATAAATTAATTGGAATATAATTAGACAGAAGTGAAAGCATACTTCACATTCTACTAATCCAGAATCCATTCCTTTAAGCCTGAATTAACGACACTGTCTTAAGGAATGGGCAGAAAGTGAAGCAAAGTAGGTGTAGCAGGATTAATAATTGGATTTTCCTGCAAGAAAGAAAAGTTGGGGAGGTTGGAAGGGGAAAACACAGGGCAGATAACGGTGCATATCAAGGGCACAGACTGCAGGTATATAATCAGCAGCCAGCTGTTGAGTGATTTTACTATTTGATGTCATTTTCTCCAGGTCAAGGGAACTAGTCAGCCCCTGGCTGTTGGAGAACAGTCCTTGGGATACTCACCAGGGTCTCCACCATGTTGGATTTGTTGTTACGCAGTGTTTTCACGATGTGGAACACGTCAATGATGTTTTGCTGCTGGATCATCTCACACACACTGCAGATGGCACAGAAGGTTCCACTACGGCCTCCCCCGTTTCTAAACACAGAGCAAAGAGGTGAGCCATGTTCCTAGGTCCCTTCCAGGCACCTGATGATTCTAAAGGTACATCAGTAGAAATAGGGATCAGCTGCCTGGGCAGATACAAGGCAAGGCAATGAATGGTGCAGGCTTTAGCCTGAGCCATGAGTTATGGTTTGACTCTGTGCCATTAACTTCCTTTGACCTTGGGCAAGTCACTTCCTCTGTCTGGGCCCCAAGTTCCTCACTCATATAATGAAGGGGTTGGACTAGATGACCTTTGAAAGTTCAATTAGCTTGACGTTTCTTGGTTCTATGAGCATGTTACAGTCACTCGGGGCACACTCACCCAAACGCCAAGGGCAGGACAGTACTGTGTCTTTGTACATGTGACACCTGCATCCTTGCTGATGCTTGCATCCATGTCCAAAAGGATGCTGTGGGTCCACTTAAACATCCAATAAAGACAATGAAAATTTCCAAGTGATTTTCCTACTAGTTCTTCCCATCCTCCACTAAGGACAGCAATACTCTGTTAGCCTAGGGTCAGCCAGCCCAAGCTTGGAGGTAGGAACTTGGAGGGAGGAACTGGGCCTGATAGGCTTTATCTTAAAATGACAGGTGTCTACTATACACCTTGGTTTAAGCAAGATGCTACTGATCTTGAGTCTAGGGATAGAAGGTTCGTGGCAGAGCTATGTCTGTTATTCCTTTCTGAAATTCCATAAGTCATCTTCATGGAAACACCCTTCAAACGCTTTACAGAGAGTCCCTGTAGGAATATGCCTGATTCAGAACTCCTGGGCATGTTGCCAAGAGCAACTAATGATTTCATGTAATGGTCTGTGTCTAAAGAACATCTGGACGGAAACTAAGGCACTCAGTCAATCTCCCAGATGTTTTATCTACAGGATACGCAGTGACCAGATGTTTCAAGTACAGAGAGTTGCTTTCCATTCCCTGACTGGTGCCTGCATTTCAGGGTCTGTTATGGCGTCTGTGACTCTTGAGGAAACCAAGGTCCCTGTTGGTAGAAGAATGTCCCTGTACCTTCCTTTGGTTCAAACTACTGGCCACCTTGGCTAGAAAGGACATAGATAAAGACACTATTGCAAACGAAAACAAAAACAAAACAAAAACAGGCTAAAAAACAAACATGAGAGAGAGAGAGAGAGTAAGGTCTCCTGCGAAAGAAGATTCTATCATTTCTGAAGCAAGAATAACAGTGTCCAAAGGGAAGAGGTGAGTAGGCACAGGGTCTCAGGGCCTGGTGGTCTGAGACCCTGAAAGATGGGTGCTAAGATAAGGTCACCTGAATGTGTGGGAGGCATCTGGGCATCTGGAGGCAGCAGGGATTAGCTGGCAGGAAACCAGCTGCTAGTTTCTGGGATGTGGGCAGAGCCACCTGGGCTTGGCTGATGCCACCCATCAACCTGACTTGGGACACCACGTAGTGTCTTCTTGAACTCTAGCCTGAGATTTGCTTCCTCTGGAAAGGAATATCTGCTGCAGGTGGTGGCCCTGAAGCTCTGTGTGTGCATCTCTATGTGTCTGTATGTTTAACCTCCTTTAAGCTCTCTGACTTTCCTAACATGTGCATGCACCACCTGTTTGAGAGGGAGAATAATTAGCTGGTTTTGAAAAGATTGACCTCAATTCTGAGGTCAGTCAGATATTATCAGTGCCTCCACTAGCTCCAGAAATATTTGTTCTGAGAAAGAGAAGACCTTGGTTCAAATTTCCTTTAACATAACATTTTTAAAGAGAGAGGCCTTCTCAATGACTTTTCCTCAAATCGTTGAAGTTCTAAGAAGCAAAGTGAGTGACTGTGAATCAAATATTTCACACATAGCTGTTATGGCTGCAGATTTGTTTTGGGTGTCAGACTTCGTAGAACCCTCTGTGGTCACTCTGTACTCCTAGGATAGGTTCTGTGACACTTGCTCTTTTAAGTAATTACATTGACAACATTTGCATATTTGCTACCATGACATTCTTGGTCATGTTGGCAGATAAAGTGTGTTTACTTTCTATTTCATGCCAAAGCACTATAGGGTCTGAAGATTGTCTAATTCCACATACCCATTGAACAGATGAGGAAACTGAGGCTTATAAAATTCAGTGATTTTCTTGACATTGGACCCTTTGTCAGCCACTGTCCTCTCGAGGTCCTGACCTCCACCCCACGTAATGACATCAGAATTCATTAGACTGGACAATGTCCATTCAAAGACAGGAGGTAAAGTCTGCAGTTCACCCCAGCAATGGGGGTATAAACACAGCTGGTCTGGAGCTCACTGTGCCCCTGTGCAATAGTGTTCCCAGAGTCCTTCACATCTGTCTATCAGTCCCTCAGGGCAGTGCCTTTCCCTCATGCTCTTTTTGTCCTGTGATCCCTCTAAACCCATCGTAGAGAAGTAGGCATAGTAGACAAGTCCTTTGGTTTACTCAGAGACAGTGTGGGTTAATCAATGGTGCATTAGCTTAGAGGCCAGGGAATGCAAGCCATAGCCCCACCCTTGATTCCTGATGACCTTACCCTGCCTGCACCTCAGTTTTCTCACTACAAAATGATAATTATCTACTTCACAAATGGATAGAGATGATTCATTTAAAATGTCTGGATTAAATTAAGCTCTCATAATCAACACCTTCCCTTTTCTCTCCTTCTTCTTCTTCCTCGGGAAATAACAAAGGAGGTTCTGGTCAGTGGAACCCACTTTGTCCTGGGTTTTCTTGTGACTATCAGGGCATATCATGCCTCTTATTGGAAAATGGGGCTCACCTTATTAATGCAAGCGTTGGAACATGGTCTGCCACCTCCTCTCATGTTTGTGGAAAGACTACCAGGTTTTGCATCAATCATATGCCATATATTAGTTCAGGACAACAAACTGGCAGCCCTGTTCCATTAAAGGATCATAATTCCTTTGAGTGCACTGCCACTAGCCTTTGAGGGATGTTGAGTTGTGGTATAGCCAGGCCTGCCTAGCACTGGTGTATGTGGCCAGCAGCATCTGCAAGGATGCTTTATCACCCACCATCCTATTGCCCTGGTGACACCTCCCTAGTACTCACAGGCAGTGGACCACAGTGCGTCCCTCCCTCCCGTCATACTGCTCCTGCCACTTCTCCAGTCGTCGGACCACTTTGAGCAGAGAGCGCTTGGAGGGGGGCGTGTCCCGGTAGGCAGGCCAGCCAATGTACTGGAGGTGCTGGACTATACGATAACCGTCCTGTGGCTGAGAACAGAGAGGCTGTTAGGGCTGTTCTGGTGGGGATGCCTGGGGACACGCACCTTGCAGATACCTTGGGGACTGCAGCATCATAGTGGAAGACAGACCAAGCGGGATCTAAGCCATGTCCTCATGGGGAGAGTCCCCATGACTACTTCTATTCCTTCGTGCACACAGACTCTCTTGCCGTGACTGCCCTGACCCCCTTTTGTACCTAAAAAACTCCTACTCAGCCTTCAAAACCCAATTTAAATGTCCCTTTCTTTAGGAAAGCCTTCCCTGACTGTTGGGCGGAGTTCTTTCTCCCTGAGGCTCATGTGCCAGAACATGTCTCACTTTCTCAATAGACAATGAACTCTGAGCTGAGGGGCAGGGGAGGTGCTGAGCTCCTTTCATCCTGGGCCCCAAGTAATGACCAAAACTGTGTTAGCAACCATTTCATAGATTGCTAATCTGCCCCTCCCACACACTACTCTGCTCAGCCAGTGAATATCCTCATGGAAGTAAGTAATCACTTTTCATCTAGGTGTTGGCAGTGCCTGGCCCAAAGCTTATGGGATCCAATCAAAGGCTGCATCAACTCATGCCAGTACAGAGACACAGTGGGGAAGATCTAATGTCTAAGAAGTTTTGTCTACACGGCAGCAAGTGTGTCAGGAAACAGGCAGATGGCAAGTTGGATGTCGCTCGTTGCATCTCTATGTGTTGAAGTCATTGCTGAGTCTGGAGCCGGAATCAGCACAGGCATCACTTCCTCAAGGAAGAAATCATCAGGAGAGCACAACACAGACTCTTGGCTGGCTCAGCGGGATCCTCTCTCAGCAGCCTCCATCTGTCTTGGGGAGGAGGGGCTCAGCAAGCAATGGTGGCCGTGTACTTACCCGGGCCATGTTACAGATGCGGAATATTCTGTGGATGATGTCCTCGTCGATGTCTGCGGAGACGAACTCCACCTGGATGGGCCCGTAGCACCCGGAGGTCTTCTCAGGCCAGTACTGCATACAGAACTGGGATAAGGAAAGAGGTCACAAAAGGAGGTCAAAGGCAAGAGGGTGGGTATCAAAGTCTCACGTATCAACAAGCTTTTCTTTCTTTTCTTTTTTTTTGAGATGGAGTATCACTCTTGTTTTCTTGTTGCCCAACCTGGAATGCAGTGGCACAATCTCGGCTCATTGCAACTTCTGCCTCCCAGGTTCAAGTGATTCTCCTGTCTCAGCCTCCTGAGTAGCTGGGATTATAGGCGCCTGCCACCATGCCTGGCTATTTTTAGTAAAGATGGGGTTTTGCCATGTTGGCCAGGCTAGTCTTGAACTCCTGACCTCGAGTGATCCACCCATCTGAGCCTCCCAGAGTGCTAGGATTATAGGTGTGAGCCACTGCGCCCAGCCATCACCAAGCTTTTCTTATGGCTGGCAGGACACATTGACCAGAAAGGTAGAGTATTATGTAGGAAATTAGATTCAGTTTCCCCTTTAGGGACCAGCCACCCACTTTTTCTGGTGTTGAAATATCAAGGCTTTGAGCACAGAAACACTGGGCTTACAAATCTTTGCTATGCTGATTTCAAACCATTTGTTAGGTTTGCTGAACCTGAGTTTCCTCATCTGTAAAATGGGGAGAATAATATCTACCTCTAAGCCCTGCTGTCAGGATTAGATAGAACATGCTAAAGAAAGGGCAAGTACAATCTAGTTTTCTTTTCACCATGCAAATCATGGCAAACTCTTCCTCATTCCAGGAAAACCTTCATAGGGTTCATTCATGATCACGTCAGAAGTAATATAAAAAATATAGGGGTTTGATCTCAGGCAGCCTTGGTCCAAATCTGGGCTCTGGTGCTTACTAGCTGTGCAGCCCAGGCCTCAGTTTTCTCATAGGTATAGTGGGGATAATTATGCTTACTTTGCACCGAAAGTTAATGTCACATGGTGCTAACAGATCTTGCCTGTGATTTTTTCTATTTATCTGGAATTGGAAATTAGAACCTACAGCTGAGAGCAAAAGGCAATGATTGACCTTCAGTTTAAGACAGTGGTTCTCAGTTGGAGGCTGTTTTGTTTCCCAGGGGACGTCTGGCAATGTCTGAAGACATTTTGATTGTCACACCTGGGGGTTGCTATGGGCATTTAGTGAGGAGAGGATGCTACTAAACATCCTGCAATGCACAGATTAGCTCCCCCCGAGAGTTATGTGGCCCCAAATATCCATACTGCAGAGACTGAGAAAACCTAGTATAAGATCTTTTTTTTTTTGAGATGGAGTCTCTGTTACCCAGGCTGGAGTGCAGTGGTGTTATCTTGGCTTGCTGCAACCTCTGCCTCCCGGGTTCAAGCGATTCTCCTGCCTCAGCCTCCCAAGTAGTTGGGACTACAGGCACGTGTGATCATACTGGCTTTTTTTTTTTTTTTTTTTTTTTTTGTATTTTTAGTAGAGACAGAGTTTCACCGTGTTAGCCAGGATGGTCTTGATCTCCTGACCTCATGATCTGCCCACCTTGGCCTGCCAAAGTGCTGGGATTACAGGTGTGAGCCACCACACCTGGCCATAAATTATTCTTTAAGCTTCAGGGGTCATTGAGAAGAAGTGGAGGCTGGGTGTGGTGGCTCACGCCTGTAATCCCAGCATTTTGGGAGGCCAAGGTGGGTGGATCATGAGGTCAGGAGTTCAAGACCAGCTTGGCCAAGATGGTGAAATCCTGTCTCTACTAAAAATACAAAAATAAGCCAGGCATGGTGTCAGGCACCTGTAATCCTAGCTACTCAGGAGGCTGAGGCAGGAGAATCACTTGAACCCAGGAGACAGAGGTTGCAGTGGGTTGAGATCATGCCACTGCACTCCAGCCTGGGCAACAGAGCAAGACTCCATCTAAAAAAAAAAAAAAAAAGAAGGATACCTTGCTGCTTGTACCTTTGTCTCTGTTGAGCCACTAGATAACTTTAGTTGAGGAGAGAATGTTGTGGTAGGGGGTGGGGTGTGTAGCTGCAGAGAAGAGCAAGGCATGCTCCCTCCAGTTCCTGGTTCCCAAGGGGCACAGAGATGGACCCTGCCTAGGTCTGCAGGTCCCATTGCTGGGGTACAGAGGAGAGTCAAGATTGGGGCTGCAGGCTCACTGGCTCACTGAGGACCATGCCAACATGAAGAAAGAGGCCATGTGTTAGACCCTTCATTGGGGGGTTGCCCTGAAGATATAGCCAAGATTCACAAAGACAGACCCCCCAAAGCTTCTGAGAGCAGTTTGGGATTGAGTCTCTTCGGGGGGCCTGGGTTCAGGCTACCCCAAGCTTGCAAATAGGGGGCTAGATTGACAGAAGTGACCCATACCCCTACAGATGCAGGGTTTTCATTGAAAGGGGTGCTTGCTCTCTACTTTGTGGCTGAAGAACAGCCATCTCACCCTGAGAAGTCACATGTGAAAATATCTTCATTCTTTTCTTCCTCTAGAACTAGAATTATAAGGGAAGAGCAGTGAGCAGGAAGGATGTAGGAGATGGAAACTCATGTTTCCCACCTTCTTAGCTGTGGATACCCCAAGTTCTAGCTTAGGAACATTCACCTTATAGCAGCAGCTGGCATACTATTGCCCACAGACCAAGCCAGCCAGCTGCCTATTTTTGCATATAAAACTTTGCTGAAACACAGCTACACTTATTCATTTATGTATTGTCCACAATTGCTTTCATGCTTCACCCACAGAGTTGGGTAGTTGTAACAAAGACCATATAGCCTGCAAATCCTGAAATATTTCCTATCTGGCTCTTCACAGAAAAAGTTTGGCAACCCCTGCTTTATAGGGTTGTTCTGAGGATAAAGGACATAATTCATGTAAATAAAGCCCTTACACAGTGCCAGGCATGGAATAAGCATTTACTAAATTCCAGTGATTCATACCATTATTGAACCCATCAGTACTCAACAAAAATAATAATGGTAATAGCTATCATATATAAATTTGAAGGATTCTTCTTATCACCCCTGATAAATAGCATAAGTATGCAAGGTTAAGCTTCAGAATGCAATGATGCCTTGCTTTCCTGGCACCTCCACTGGGGGTTAACCAAGCATAGTGAGAAAGGAGCTCTGAGTGTGTGTGTGTGTATGTGTGTGTTGTCGGGGTGCTGGTCACAGAGGCCTCCATGGCTGGACAACCATCTGCTGAGCTGTACAATAATGACAAATCCACAATTTGAACTTCATTTCTCTTTGCCATTGGCTCTTCCGCCTTGCAACCTTCACAGTAATGAGAGACTGGTACAAATAGGTCTATGGTTGGTCAGAGAAACCAGAATTAATCAGAACTGCCCATTAAAAAAATAATTGCCTTTATCACCTGCACTGAATTTAGCGTTCCCAGGGTTTGGCTGTGATCCTGACATGAGGTACATGGATCCAAATCACGGAAAGCCTATTATCCCCAATATCTTCAGTCTGGAGAGAATGTGGAATGATTTGTCTCTTTTAATAAGATTTCCAGACCAATTTCTCAAGCTAATAGATTCTACTATGCCTCAAACAAGACTCCTATATTTCGGGACCCTTCTCTGCATTCGATTTTCTGGGTCACTCTCTCATAATGCCCAGAGGGCTGGGGAAGGTTGCAGGCTTTTCCAATCCTTAATCAGAGTCATCCTTTCACTTGGGCGCCCTAATTTGTGAGACTACAGCAGCAGCAGGGTGGGTGACATTCAGAAGGGTGATGTGCTGGCATATGTGGTGTTTGAGCTGCTAGGGATCATCAGGGTCTCTCTCTGCAGCCCAGGACATTGCATATACTCTAGACATGGGAAATAAGAGAAAGAAAGCAGAGAGGCCACGTTTTCTCTTCCCACTGACCCTTTGGGGCTCAGAAATGATTCTCATCAACAAGAAATATCCTCTGTGGTTTAGCTCAAGACTGTCCTGGTGTTCAAGTGCTGTGGCTGCACCTGAATGGATGCCACCATTTTGGTTTGCTTATGTTGTATAGCAAAAGGTGGGAAAATGCATTGGGGTTTCTGGATTCCAATCCTGGCTCTATCACTTTCTAGTTGAATGGCTTGGCTACATCTCTTAGCTTTTCCAGTTTGTTATGAGTGGCTGTGAATTTTAGTGTATACTTAGCATAGGGATCTGTATCTAGCAAGCACTCAATAAATGTAAGCTGTGATTATTAGGCAGTATGGGGGAGGGTTCCTCAAAACAAGATGGATAAATAGAAGATTTTTTTCTCCACTTAGTAGCTCTTATGAAAATTTCTCTTTAGGATAATACCCAAAGGACTGCCCTTGTGAAAATTCTGGATCAGCCAGCTTGGGGTAGCTGTGAAGATGAGTAGCATCCTAGATATGCGATACTGCATGCCAAAAAACAGAGATCTGTAGGTTGCTCTGATGAGCTGAATGACCCAGAAGATAAAAGAGGAAGGTTGGGATCATTGTAGAACCAATGAGGTATAAAAGGCAACTCAATGTGTCACATAACCCTGCTCCTAACCTCTAGAATATTCCATACATTCCTAATAGCATGTAAAATGCATACTGTGCATGTATTTCTTGCAGAAACCAGCAAGGAACTGAGCTTGGCTCCCTGGCTCACATAGACATGGAACAGAGATCACAAATGTGAGTGGAGGAGCCAGACTTTTCATATAAGCACATAAGCATCTGCGATTTATACAACTCCTTGGGAGGGAAAGCTTATGGTTTCTTAAGGCTCTGGAAATGTGAATTCTAGGAAGCCTACTTGCTTCTTTAAGATCATGAGAACCTAGCTGACCTGAAAGCCACACTTAACACTCAATGCAACCTTGGCATTTTCTTCCTTAGATGGAAAACTTGTGAAGTTGGCTGATCCAAGAATAGATTCAAATTCTTCAGCCAAGAGTCTAGACCAACTGACTTTTTCCACCTCGTTGCCTAGTAAGTACTCTCTCCTACCCTTTCTTTTGTAGTGGTCTGAGGGTGAAAGGTGAAGGGAGGGCTTTACCACTGCAGATACATACAGGTAGTGGCGATGAACACACTGGGAGAGGAAGTCAGTCCACTTGTTAATGATTTAGAAATAATCATGCTTCTTCCAAAAAAACAGAGGGGACTTTTGATGTCTTTTGTCAGAACAAGTTAAACCAAGCAAAATTGTGAAGCCTGTGTGGACAGCCCTGGAACAGCTGCCATACATTATTCCACGTAGTGCTCTCCATAGTTGTTTGGACCATGAAAAGATGTCCTTGGGGGGTGTAAGTTCACGCGTGATATATAACAAATACAGAGGTAGCCTCATGCGTTAAACATGTTTTTCTTGCTGAGGGAATCAGAAAACTGGTTAGTCACTGGAATAAATATGCTCTGATGAATTGAATGAAAACTAGCATATGGGTCTATTTTTGGAATAAACATTTTTAGAGCATATTTCAGTACACCTTAGTTATGCCTTTCTTTAATTAAAAATACTTTGATAAAATGGAAAGGCCAAGTAATATCATAGTGTTAGAAATGAAGGACTCTATTTATTAAGGCCCCTGTGACCCAGAGTGAAGAAATCGATCCCAGGTCACCTAAAGGTGAAATGAATTTTTTTTTTTTTTTGAGACGGAGTCTCGCTCTGTCGCCCAGGCTGGAGTGCAGTGGCTGGATCTCAGCTCACTGCAAGCTCCGCCTCCCGGGTTTACGCCATTCTCCTGCCTCAGCCTCCCGAGTAGCTGGGACTACAGGCCCCCGCCACCTCGCCTGACTAGTTTTTTGTATTTTTTAGTAGAGACGGGATTTCACTGTGTTAGCCAGGATGGTCTCGATCTCCTGACCTCGTGATCCGCCCGTCTTGGCCTCCCAAAGTGCTGGGATTACAGGCCTGAGCCACCGCGCCCGGCCTGAATTGGTATTTTAAAGAGAGAAATGTAAGTTTCCTGAATTGGTTTTAAAATTCGACATCAGTGATTATAAAATTGGCTTTGATACTATGTCCAGTTAAGGAAGTCAGACTGTGAGTGAAGGCATAAAGAAGACAGGGACAGGGACAGGGAAACAGAGAGAGGGAGAGAGAGGGATCGATTGATCAAAGCACATTCACACATCTCTCCTCAGTGTATCCTCCCAATAGTCCCGTGAAGTTCCGTAATGCAATCTCCATGTAGTGGGTGGAAACTTACTCTTAATAACAGCTGCATCAGAATTTGTTTCTGGGAAGGAAGGGTTGGAGTTTAGGAATATACCTACAGAAGAGTCTTGGGGACGGGAGGCAAGGCTCAGAGCAGGTTTTAGAAAGAGGTACTAAGGAGATGGCTGGATTTTGCAGCTTAAGAAAGGAAACAGCTTAAGAAAGGAACAGCTTTTGGGGAGAGGATGGGAGAGGGAGGTATGGGAGAGGAGGTAAACAGGGGAAGAAAATGGTTTGGGCAACAGGGTCAGGGGAAGACGTGTTACTGCTAGCGAGGGTCGAGGAGGCAAGATGGGGCTTCAGAACGAGGATGTGTGATGTTCAACTTTAAGTCATGGGCATTGATGGGATCTGAAGCTCATATTCCTCTGACTAAAGCCTCAGCTGAAACTTGGAAGTGAACATGAGAATACGACCCCCTCAGAATTATCAGAAATATTGGGGATGGACTGTGGGTTTTCCCACAGGATAGGGAGTAGGGAACAGAGCAAATTTTATTTAAATCTTCAAAGACAGAGTGAACTTGGCTAACATCTAGGTTATAATTAACCAAGGATAACATTAAGACTTGGAGAAAGTAAAGGACCTGGCTCAGGGCAACACAGTGAGTAAGTACCAAGGCTGCAATTTGAACTCAGGTCTCTTGACCCCAGACTTGTTATTTTACTGTTACCCCTACCATTCTGGTGGGGACAGAGACAGAGACACAGCCCCTTGCAAAGTCAGATCTGAGGCTGGCTGAGATGCAAGTTGGGTATTTTGCATACTTTGCTGGTGTGTTAGGCTGTGTTTTCACAAGCTCAGACTGAAAATGGGGATATTAGGAGTTGCTATTTGCCCTAGAGGCACAATGGCAGCAAGGGACATCTCTGAAATAGCACCCTGCTTTTCTCCTGGGAGAATGAGGAGCTTGCCTCTCTCACTTCCATAGGAATCCATCACAGCCCCCATTATCCTTGCACTCAGGCACCCTCACCTTTCCAAAAGGCTTTGCATCCCTGATCTCTCGACTTTCCACAGTGGGAGCCTCAGAACTGAGCAACTCAGCCTTTATATAAGTTATGGGCTCTTACTTGTTTTAAAGTAAAGAAACATCCCTGTATGCACCATACACCAGGTGCCATAGCACATTCATAGGTCTCAGGGGTTAGGATGTGGACACCTTTGGTGGGGCCATGATTCTGGCCACCATACAGCCCTACCCTGTGGCTGGTGTGGAGGATCCCCTGAGCTCTCTAAACAGTATGGTGAGTGTGGCATGACTGCAAGGAGGGCTTCTTTCTGACGTCTGGTCTCCATGGACTCTGGCCTATCCATAAAGACCACAAAGATGGAAAAGATCTTGTCAATGCTGTTGGATGTGGTTGAAAATGTTCTTTCTGCTGCGTCTGAGAAGTGACAGCATGCTTTGCTGGCTGGCGTGGTTCTAGGATTTTACCCCACAAATCTGACCACAGATATTTGGAGTCCTAAAGAGTTAGAAAAATCTGTAAGGTTGAATGCAAAAGTTTGAAAGCCTTTATTTTGAGCCCTCATTGATCATAATTACCTTTGGACAGCAACCACTGCAGAGAATGAAAGAATATTTGGGGCTGATTGAGTGAAGTAGTGTAAGATTCTGAGCAGGGGCAGATTTGGCCAGCAGTGTGGGGAAAAAAAAAAAAAAAAAAAAAAAAAAAAAAAAAAAGGCCCTGTGAGAGATCACACCGTCTTCTTATTTTGCTGCAACTTACAGGTAGCCCTGCCCAATCCCCAAAATACGCCCTTATGGTTCCCAGGCAAACCACAGGAGGTGGCATCGGTCCTCTCAGGAATGACCTAGCAATGCTGAGGTCCTAAGGCAGACCTGTCCATGTTACCAGGCTGGGCTAGCTTGGAGGCTGCCTTGGCATGAGCATGCAGGCAGACAGATGCTGATGCCACTTCAAAGAACCGCCCCTCCAGGTGCCGAGGGTGGCTTTTCTGATGCTCATGCTGTGTCATTGTTTATTTTCATAAGGCTCCCAGCTGCTGCGGTGATGATATTTATATCAATAAGTGCTCTATTCATCTGCCGGTTTCAGGGAATGCTTGCCAGCTGCATATGGCAGCCAACCTCAGGGTACTTCTGAGCCTGATGTTTTTGCATTTAGAATATCAGTTTTCAACTCTGTACCAACATCTGGGCCTGAAAGATTCTTCATTCACTCAGGACCCACCCTGAAAGGGGGAGCTATAGCCAATGACCTTGATCTTTGTTTCAAGGTTTTATATGTCCCAAAGTGAAGTTCTTTGAAAGTCGTCCTCTGTGCCTGAGCTCTGGTTTTGCAGAAAGGGATGTTGAAAAAGAGAAGAGCAAACAGTGTTTTGCAGGCCAGACTTCACACCCAGGCTCATGAGCTGAGTTCACTGTTTTATTTCTTCAGCCAAAAGCATAGGGTGGTGATGCCTTTGGACTCCAAAACTCCCCAGGGAATGTTCCAGAACTCTGTTTTATGAGAATTCATTCATTTTTTATAGTTATCTCAGTTTCTAACCTTCTATTGCTCAGGCCCCAATCCTTGGAATTATCCTTCATTCCTCTTTTTTTTTTTGACAGGGTCTTACTTTGTCACCCTAGGCTAGAGTGCAGTGGTGTGATCACAGCTCTCTGCAGCTTTGATCTCCTAGGCTCAAGTAATCCTGCCTCAGCCTCCCAAGTAGCTAGGATTACAGGCATGGAGCACCATGCCCAGTTCATTTAAAATTATTTTGTAGGGCTGGGCGCAGTGGCTCATGCCTGTAATCCCAGCACTTTGGGAGGCCAAGATCAGCAGATCACCTGAGGTCAGGAGATTGAGACCAGTCTGGCCAACATTGTGAAACCCCATCTCTACTAAAAATACAAAAATTATCTGGCTGTGGTGGCTCACATCTGTAATCCCAGCTACTTGGGAGGCTGAGGCAGGAGAATTGCTTCAACCCAGGAGGTGGCAGTGAGTTGAGATCGCGCCACTGTACTCCAGCCTGGGCAACAGAGTGAGACTCCATCTAAAAAAAAAAATTATTTTGTAGAGACAGGGTGTTACTGTGTTGTCCAGGATGGTCTTTTACTTGTGGTCTCAAGTGATAAGTGCTAAGTAAGATTACAGGCACACCTGGTCCTTGATTCCTCTTTCTCTCTCTTATTCCATAGTCAATCTATCTGGGTGTGTTGTTGGCTTTACCTTCAGAATCCACTCCATTGCTACCTCCCGGTTCAACCAACCTCACCTGCCACCTGCATTATCACAGTAGTCTCTTGTCTGTTCTCTCTGCTTCCATTTCAGAAACCACTCTTCCCCATCCTTGCACCAACAATCTATTCTCAACACAGCAGCCAGAGGGATGCTTTTATTAAAAAAGGCAAATTATGTTGCTCCTCTGCTTCAAACATGTGCATGGCTCTCTGTTTCTCTGAGAATGAAAGCCCAAGTTCTTCTATGTCTTCCATGGCCCTCTGACTTCACCTTCCACTGCTTTCCCCACACTTGTGCTGCTCTGCCACTGCTCTGCCCATGGCCTTTGTGCTATTCCTCAAGGGCACCAGGTGCATGCCTGCCCTGCAGCCTGGATGCAGGTGTTCCCTCTGCCTGCGATGCCCCCTGAGAGTCACATGGCTCACTCTCTCACCTCCTTCAGGTCTGTGTTCAAATGTTTTCTTCTCCATAGGGCCCACCTTGACAATCCTATTGCAGTGACATCCTATGTCCCAGATCCACCATTCTGATCTTTACTACCCTGTCCTCTTACCTTTTTCCAAACACTCGTGTCACCTTCTAACTTATAATTGAGCACATTAGAGAGTGTGTGTTGCTTATTATCTGTCTCCCCCTTTAGAATAGAAGTTGCATGAGAGATGAGAGTTTTTTTTTATGCCTCTCTTTGTGTTGCTCAGTGATGCATTCCAAGCACCTAGAATAGCTTCCAGCAAATAGCAGATGCCCAACAAATATGGGTTGCCTGAATCAATGTGAATCAATGGACTCCCTCCGGAACATCTCTCACAGGCACATCCCAAGGTGCACTCAATTTCATCCCCTGCTCATCTGCTCTTCTCGCTGCCTTCCCCCACCTTCCTGCCTTTCATATTTTCACCAGTTATATCTCCGGATGCCTAATTGCCCAGACTCAACATCCTGCCATTTTCTGCAACTTTCCTTCTCATTCACCTCCCACCTGCACTCTCTCCCTAAACCTTGTGGACTTAAGTCTGGAAATGTTTTCATGATCAATTCCAATCCTCTCACCTCCTGGCCACTTCTGCAGTTCAGATAACTACCTTTATTTTCTGCATATTTGCAACATTCTCCTCCCCGGTCTCCTGGTTTGCATGTCTTTCCTCCAGCTTGTTACCTGCACTGATCCCCAGACCTGGCTTTTTTATTCTTACCTTTTTTTTTGCGTTTTTTAAATTTATTTTTTAAGAGATGGGGTCAGCCAGATGCGGTGGCTCACGCCTGTAATCCCAGCACTCTGGGAGGCCGAGGTAGGTGGAACACTTGTGATCAAGAGTTTGAGACCAGCCTGGCCAATATGGTGAAACTCCGTCTCTACTAAAAATACAAAAATTTGCCAGGCATGTTGGCACATGCCTGTAATCCCAGCTACATGGGAGGCTGAGGCATGAGAATCGCTCAAACCTGGGAGGCAGAGGTTGCAGTGAGCCAAGATTGCACCACTGCACTCCAGTCAGGATGACAGAGTAAGAGTCAGTCTCGAAAAAAAAAAAAAAAGGGAGATGGGTTCTTGCACTGTCACCCAGGCTGGAATGCAGTGGCGGGATCATAGCTCACTTTAGCCTTGCAGTGCCCAAGCAATCCTCCTGCCTCAGCCTCCTGAGTAACTGGGACTGTAGACACACAGCACCATGCCTGGCTATTTTTTTTTTTTTTTTTTTTTGTAGAGACAGGGTCTCATGGTGTTGCCCAGGCTGGGCATGAACTCCTGGCCTCAAGGAGTCCTCCTGCCTTGGCCTCCCATAGTGCTGGGATTACAGGCATAAGCCACCATGCCCAGCCTCTAGACCCAGCTTTCTAACAGGAACCCTGGCTGTGTTATACCACTGTTGACTCTCCAGTGTTTCACCTTCCTGCACAGAAAGTATTTCTAACTGTGCTACTCCAAACTCCAGCGGTCCCATAAAGGACCAGGGGCACCAGGAGAAAATGAGAGAGTAGTGTGGGTGGAACCCCAGCCTCTGCCTATTGCTTCACCATGAGCAGCTCTTGGTCATTGCTGTTTCATACATTGGGCTTGCATGAAAGCTTTTATTCATAGAAAGGATTCTGTTGCTTAACAAAGGAAAAGTCTGATGCTTGCTATGCTGCCAACCAAGATCCAAGCTCCTCAGCCTGGCACAGGGAGCTCTCTGCAAGCTGGGCTCTGCTACATTTTTCAGCCTCACTACATTTGTCTCCTCCTGATATTCCCCTAAGCCCCAGCCACACTGGAACATAAACTGTTCTGCAAATAAGTCTACGTATATTCTTCCCCTGCCTCACCTTTGCCTGTGCTGTTCCCTCTGCCTGAAATGCCTTTTCCCAGTGAGTTCAGCCTCCATATACCTAAAGCTCCTCTGCCTTCTTCAAGGCCAAAGTCATCTTCTTTTTGAAGTCTTCCCTAACCCTCTGGGCAGAATTAATTGCTCCCTGCTCCTGGCCAACACAGCACTTCACTGCTGACCTCTATTATAACACAGCCACACGAGGTTGGGACAATTTGCTCATCTGTCTCTGGAGCAAGACCGTGAGCTTTTGCAGGGCTGAAACTATAGCTCGGGTCTGTTTAAAAATTTTTAAAATTCCCATCCAAGGCCTGCACAAGGCCAGCACTCACACAGGAATGCGATGTTACTTTAAGTTTTATTCAAGGCAGTGAAAGGATAGATTTGTAAAAATCTGAAGGACCATTCTCACCTCTTCCACCCCAGAATGGCTGCCCTGGCATAGAGGTGCATTCACTGCCTTGAAGAAATCCAGAAACTGTCCCAAGATACATGTCCTGTGTCCTGAATATGGGGATATGCTATAGGCATGTGATACTAGGAGCTATCAGACCAGAGGGGCTAAGGCAGGAAGCCTGCCAGGACACGAAGGTCAATTGTGAGGAACTGGGGCTTGGTGAGGTGGTCAGTGGGTAAAGTATCCAAGGTTCAAGTCCCAGGCTCTGTCTGCACAGGCTGCATTGCAGAAGGGTAAGGGAGGTGAGTGTGGCCGGGCATCTGGGTATTATTCAGGGCTGCAGGTGCTCAGTGCTGGGGGAGGCAGCCTCCTGGCTCTGCAAGATCTGTGTGCTTTGGAGCAAGACAATAATCAATGCTTGTGAGATGGAGCAACAGAGTCTGGTCCCGGGCGGGGAGCTGGACAAAGCCCATAGGCAAGGGGAGTCTTTGCTGGAGGTCTGGGGGGCAACAGGACCCTCTGTAAGCAGCAGAATGGCTTTTGCCTGATGCTCATGGCCAGACAGAGCTTATTACAGGACAGCTAGCTGGGGCAGATGTGGCAGGCACTGGCTGTTAAGGGCTCTCCCTCCAGGTTTAGAGTATGGCCCCCCTGACCCACCTAGGGCTTGGCTCGGCCTCCTCCTACCTGGGCAGTGTCCATCTCATTCAGCATCACCACAGAGGAGCAGTTGTAATCAAACACCAGCCTCCAGAAGTCTGCCACGGTGTTGGGTAGAGGGTGCTGGGTGACCACGAAGGCGGCAGGTTGCTTGTGGCTCTGACAAAGGAATGACACAGGCTTTGTAAATTACACATCCATCAGCGATATTCTGATGATGATGAGGCCCGGACTGAGGCCAGAGGCTCCCGAGCCTGCCAAATAGATGATACAAAGCACCTGCCTGTTCTTTTATCTCTCCATGCCCTGGCGGCAAAGGGGACCTTCTCATAATGAACACATTCTCCTCCAAACTAAGACATTTCATTAGGAAAGTGTCACTGGGATGGGATTATCCAAATAAATTATTTATGCCTTGAAGCTCAGCAAATAATCATAATTACAATATGAAATGAAAGATTTCAGATGCAGATTTGTTGCTCTGCTGGTCAAGACACCTCTTGGGATATAAGGGATTGGCCGTATCTCTGTGCCCATGATGCTGGGGGAGGTTTTGGGCCGGCTTGAGGCAGAGATTCTCCCAAAGGGGCAGGCTCCCTTCTGCCTCCAGGCTGGAATGAGGGGCTGAGCTGGCCTGGCAAGGTGGGCACTGTGTCCTGTGAGTCAGTGGGGCAGTGGAAAGTACACATGTATTAAGTCAGGTCGACCTGGGGTTCAAGTACAGCTTTACCACTTGTAAGTTATGAGTCATCCATCTGTCCATCCATTCACCCATTTATTCATCCAGACCTCATTTGTAGAGTGCTGTGTGTTTTTTTTTTTTTGGCAGATTGGGTGCTAAGTACTGGCAAGTTATTAGATGATTCCAAAGCTCATGTTCTTCACCTGGAAAACGGAAATCATAAATCCAAAGGAATGATGTCACACAGATTGAATGAGATTTGCGTGTGAAGAGGCCAGCAAACAGGAGCGGGAATGTAAGCCTACTGGCAGGGCAGAAACACCCCTGACTTTGTTTTACATCCTTGGCACTGGTATTATTGCTGGCACATGCTAGACAGTGCCACTCCAGTGAATAAGACAATAAATTCAGTCCCATGTTGCAGATAGGGAAACAGAGGCCCAGAGAAAATGGCCTGGGGGGGGTCTGGCAGCTTCAACCAGGGCCCTGTTTTCCCCCCACCCTGAAGTCATGTGTTTGAAAAGACTGGGGAGATTCTCCATTTAATCAGTGGCTCATGCGCTCGATATGTTTTCTCAAGAGATGGTTTCTGTGGGAGTCACAGCTGTTTTCAGTGGAGTCACAAGTGAGAGGAAAGAGGGCAAAGACCCTGGAAAAAGCAGGACAAAGCCTTGCAAACATGGATGTCGTGCATGCATTGTCGGGGGGTGGGGGTTCTTCCGAGGGTGGTCTCCTGGCCAGTAGAATTTTCAGAAGAGGGGTCTGGGTGGACAGAGGCAAATAATTTATTTTCCAAAAGCCAAACTCTCTAGCTGTAGACGGCATCGTCTTTGAGCCATTTCCAGACATGGGAAAACGCTTTGAGAGTTAACAGACTTGGAGCTCCAATCCTTGGCTCCCATTTCTGAGCTAGTTGACCTTGAACAAGTGATGAAAATACTCTGACCCTGAGGACCTCATCAGAAAATGGGGATGAGAACACCCACATGCAAAATGGGACAGTGCGAGTCCAGGGCCCGACACGGTGCCCAGCACTCAGTGAATGTTAGTTTTCTTTTCTTTTTCCCTGTCTCTGTGATAAATGCTCTATTAGGCCAGCACGCCTGACAAAGCCTTATCTGAAAATATGTTCGAGATCCGTGCTCCTGCCGGGTTTCAGGGATCAGCCGGCAATCCATTTCATGGATAACATCATCCTTTACCAGGGGAAACATTAAAAATTAACCCAGAGGACTTCATATTTTTCTGCTAGGAGCAAAGCTGCTATGGTTACCAGATAATGCACCGACTGAGCTGGAATACAGATAAGGACTTTTTTTTTTTTTTTTTTAAATATAAGAAAGGCAAAGGCCCCAGTGATGGCTCACAAGAGAAATGCCCTGTGGACAAAGAGAATACAGTCAGCCTCAGAGCTTGGCAGAAGGCGTTTGACTCCAGGCAGTATCTAACCTATTAAGTAGAGGCCAGGAGCTTGTTTGATCTTTGCCCGGATGAGGAAGGCAGGGAGGGGGTGTTGGGAGAAGTGGGAGGCAAAGCTAGGAGGAACTTGGAAGTATGGGTGCACCCCTAGACCCCATTTCTCACCACACTCTCACACAATGCACACTTACATGCACATACATGTACTACTCATTGACTTTAGAAGGCTTTACGCTAATGCCAAAGGTCTTCTCTCCACCTCTAGCTACTTGATGTGACCAAGCCAAGACTCCCTGATTCTTACAGAGGATATGGGCACCCTGTGGGCAGACGCCAGGGCAGGCCACTAGAGAGCTGCGACAGGCATTGACCTTCCTGCCTCTAACATCCAGGCCCTTGGGGAGAAACTTCAAGAGGATTAGAGGTCAGAGAAGTTGTTGGCTTTACCTCAGGTGAGAGTATCCCATGTTTCTGTCTATCCTGCGTGAGATAGGAAGGCCACGGGTAGATGGATGTGAACTCAGATGGGCTGGGGAGGGGAAGCTGGAAGAGCCCATGATAATCAGGCAATGGTATTCTTGGTTTTGAGCCTCAAGAGGTGAGATGTTTGCATCTTATTAGATCCAGCAAATTGCGGGGAGGCTCAAGAAATAAGTTCCAGGGTGTTAAGGAGCTCTATGTGTGGGCTGTGCCACTAGCTCCCTGGGTGAAATTGAGCAAGTCTCTTTCTCTCTCTGGCCTCCGTTTTCTCTGCTGAAAAGTACATGGCTGGGAGTAGATGGTCCATAGTTCCTTCCTGCTGCAAACACCTGTACACCTTGGAGGGGAAGTGATATTCAGACGTATCCGAAAAACACAGGGGAGAAGCCTAGGCTCACTGGGCCGGGAACATGACCCTAATCCCAGAGCCGGGCAGGGTGCAGCCCCTTCCTGGACCTGATGACAAGAAAGCAGGGGGCACTGCCCCTCCAAGGACAGCCAGGAACACAGCCTGCTTCCACCCCATGCTTATTTTACTGCTTCCCACTACTTTCCCAATAACCATTTACTGAGCCCCTACTGTGTGCTATCCTCATTTTTGTCTCTGCACAGGAGTTATCTGGGAACCTTCATGGGAATTACCAGAGGGTAGAACCTGTGTCTGCACTGTCTTGTGTTCCAAGGCCCAGCATAGAGAACACTTGTTTTACTAAACTTCAGGTTGAGAGTCAGCTGTGTGGGGAATGGAAGGGGTTGCTAGGCAGGCCTGTAGCCTTGCCATGGAGTCATGGGAGTCACCTTACACTTCTGGTCTGTTCTTTCTAGGTTCTTTATATGAGAAAAGGAGCCAAGATCCCAGCTTGTGTCTAGGTTTGGACCAGAGCCTTCAGGGGAACAAAGGTCCTTAGGACCAGTAGATCAGAAGCAGGGAGGCTGGCTGGTGGGGTCAGGGCCCTGAGGTCCAGCCACCTCCACCTCAGGAAGAGTATTTGCTCTAGAATGTCAGCTAGGAGCTTTCTGCCCAGGCTCAGCTTACATCCATCAGTGCCGCGTTGATGTAATTGCTGGATTCTCCGTCCACCGAGATGAGGAAGGGCAGGCAGCGGTCCAGAGGCAGCACGTCCATGCTTCGATTCTTATCATGGTTCCGGGGCAGGAGCCCAATGCTGCAGTCCTCGGGCCTCACACGGGGTGTCACAATGTTGAGGGTCTGTGGGGCACAAAGGTGAATAGATAGGCCTTGATCATACGGCTGCCCCGAGCAAAAGAGACAGTGATGTTCCAACTCAGCCTAACTTGCCTATTTCCACCCTCCAAGTGCAGCCCCACTGTCCCTTTCCCAGGACCCATTTCTCTTCCATGGTGATGTTCTGTCCTCTCCTGCTCACTGCTACAGGGTGCGTGAGCTGTGTGACACCTTCAAAACGCTAAGGCTGCAGAAGCAGCGCATGCACACAGAGGCTCAGACACAGTCTCGTGGTACCTGCCAACCAGAGGAACTAAGTGGTTCAGCTTAGCCAGTGCTGCATTAAAGGGTGGGCCAGCCAGGAGGGTGTACAGAGGGGCGGGGGTAGGAAATCCCCACTGAGGGCTAAACATCACTTGCATTGTCATGGAATGGGGGAAATGATTTACCAGCACTCTTCTCAGAGAGAAAGCTGTCTGAGTATGGAAGGAGGCCTAGATGAACTGCTCAGGATAGATGAGAGACCCCCGAAGGGCAAACCCTAATATGTCTGGGAAATTGCTGTGTTTGGGTTCTGGTTTGAGGCCAGAGCTGAACTGCTGTATCCAATGGACTAGATGTTACACGCAATGACTAGAGTTCTGTACCCTCCATCCTTCCGTCATTCAGCTCTCTGTCTCTAATTCAAATCAATAATGGTTATTTGTTTTAGGGATTGCTAAGGTATTGGCCTGCCTAGGATATCTGCCCGTGGAACAATGGGCCTGGCATTTGCCCACTGACTTGAAGCAAGACCTGGAGCTTCCTTGCTTTCTCATACCTCGTTCTCAGCTCCTATTGCCCAGGTGTAATCCTGACACTGGTCTTGCGATAAAGGGCTGGACTCCGGCTTTACCTTACTTAGTGATTCATGTCCAGGCTTCTTAGACCAATCAATGTTGCCACAGCACTGACCATACGGGCTTCCAGGTGAGGATCTTATTTATTTTTTATTATACTTTAATTTCTAGGGTACATGTGCACAATGTGCAGGTTTGTTACATATGTATACATGTGCCATGTTGGTGTGCTGCTCCCATTAACTCATCATTTACATTAGGTATAGCTCCTAATGCTGTTTTCTTTTTTTTTTTTTTTTTTTTTAAGATGGAGTCTCACTCTGTTGCCCAGGCTGTAGTGCAGTGGCATGATCTCGGCTCACTGCAACCTCTGCCTCCCATGTTCAAGCAAGTCTCCTGCCTCAGCCTCCTGAGTACCTGGGATTATAGGAGCATGCCACCATGCCTGGCTAATTTGTTTTGTATTTTTAGTAGAGACAGGGTTTCACCATGTTGGTCAGACTGCAGACCACACTTTTAGCAGTAATAGTCTACTGAAAAAATACTGAGAGGACCTGAGTCCCTCCATGGATGAAGGAGCATGAAATTCACACCTGTTTGTATAAATTCGTCTCCATTCACAACTTGGACTAGAACTGAATAAGACTTCAGTTAAAAAACAGTTAAAAACAAGCACCAGCAATCCCTGAGTGCGTCGTTGCTCATGGCTGTGCATTTTGTGTTCTGGAATAGATTCTGCAGCTTCCTAGAGGAGCAGACACTGAAAGTGCATAGACATATCAGTTGTCCCAAAGAAAACCCCACAAATGTGCACAGAGCCACTGAAGTTGGTTGGGTTACTATTACGAACTAAATGTTTTCATCCCTCCCAAAATCCATGTCGTAATCTTAGCCCCCAATGTGATGGTATTAGGAGGTTGGGACTTCGGAAGATGTTTAGGTCATGAACATAGAACCCTCATGAACATGGGATTACTGCTCTTATAAGAAGAAACATGCAGGGCTGGGTGTGGTGGCTCACGCCTGTAATCCCAATAATTTGGGAGACCAAGGTGGGAGGATTGCTTGAACCCAGGATTTGAAGACCATCCTGGGCAACGTAGTGAGATCTTATCTCTATAAAAAATAAAAAAAGAAGAAACATGAGAGCTTGCTGCTTCTGCTTTCCACCATGTGAATATGCAGTGAGAAGATGGCTATCTGAAAGACAGGAAGTGAGCTCTCCCCAGACACTGGATTTACTGGAAGCTTGATATTGGACTTCTCAGCCTCCAGAAATGTAATAAATAAATGTTTGTCATTTAAGCCACCGAATCTACAGAAATTTGTTATAACAACCCAAACTGACTAAGATGGTCACCGAGCCTGGGATTTGCTCATACCTGAAATTCATCTTTGATTTGGCTGGAGTTCGTCTGGGGGTCCAGCCTGCTGATATTGTAGTAGAGAGAACGGAACTCACACACAGGGATGGCAGTGTTGCCACAGAGGCACGCTTCCAGGATGGCGTCGTGCACAAACACATATTGCTCCTGCAAAGTCAGAAGAGAGGGAATGGGGTGCCAGGTAAGAACAGTGCCCTGGGAATTTGTGGTCCACATTTAGTATTGTGGCTATGAAGGATAGACACTTGTCAATATATTGTAGAATCCTTACTTTCTATACTGTAACCCAAAGGACCAACTTTCCACGTTTCCTAATGATCACCTGAACTATGGTGGGTCTTGTTTCTTACAGAAGATGTAATAGCATAGTCACTGATAAAATGAGAAACTTCTAGACATGCTGTAGCAGGTGCTCTTTGTGTCCAGCCCATGTCCCTTCAGCTTTCACCTTTACCTAAGGAAGGCTGCTTGCTGCAAACACCTGTGATTCTCTGCTGAAGGCAGAGAGGATACTTGGGCTGTACGGAAAGTAACCCTCAAGCAGAGACAGATAGAGAGTTGAGGACGGAAATCTAAGTTCCTTCTCCCTTTAGGTGGAATCACTTGGACACGCATGTGTCTCAGAGTTCCCAGCAGAATTGGGTTCCAGTTGTCTACAGTGTTGAACAGCTTGTTAAAGTAGCCTTTGTTTCCTTCCCTGCTCTGCCTCACTTTCCCATTCACCAGCCAGTGTGTCTTGGGATTACCTTCCAAGCAAATTATTTGCCCGCAAATCTTTGTCTCACAATCTGCTCCTAAAACATGTGTCATGTCTTCTCCTATCTCAATTATTTATACCTGCTGTTCTCTCCTCCTGAAACTCCACTCCCTCTTTTCCATACCTTTAATGTTTCATTCTTTCTGGAAGACCATCTGTTAATCCACCAGGCAGAAGTTGGTGTCACTTCTAGGCCCTAGATAAATGTTTGTTGAGTGACCTTTTCTGCAGAACTTGGTCAGTTTCTCTATAAAGTGTGCTTTTCCAGATGCAACATGATGCATCTGCATTTGAATATGTCTGTCTCCTCATCTGTCTGACTGCAACTGGAAAGCCTGCCTTCTGCATGCATGAACCTGGGAATGGATAAAGCAGCCCTCTTGGCTTTAGTGCTAGAAGCCTGAAGACTGGCCTGTGTGAGTTAGCTCAGAGCCTATGTGTGTAAACCAATCAGTGGTGGTATTCACTGCAGAGTCAGAGGGGCTGGCTGTACCAAAGCCATGGGTCACTTCCCTTTGCAGGATTGATGATGTACACAGTTCCTTATCTGTCCCAGCTCTGACTGCCCAAGCACCCAGAGCCTTCACTAGAACAGAAGATGGGCTCATTACGGGAATGATAAGCCAAGGCACAGAGTGGGATAGGCAGAAAAGGCTGCTTAGTCAGAGTGTGGTTCTGGCAAAAAAGCAGAGGCCTTTGGGGTCACATGGACCCAAGTTCTCCCACAGTCTGGTATGTGAGGTCTTAGGGACACAATTTCTTAGTTTCTTCTTCATTGATAAATTGGAGATAATACTAGGAGCTACACCACAGCTGTTTTGGAGGAGTAGAAACACTACCGCGACTAGAAAGAATGTATGCTGCCTGGCTCACAGTAGGTACACAACAATAAAGATTAATTCCTTTCAGTACTCTTAGGTCTGGGCTCTCTAACTGCACAGAGAAGTGCTGAAGGTCTGCTTCTCCCTTGAGGGCAGGGGCTATGTATTACATCTCTTGAAATCCCCAGCACCCAGCCTAAGTACTCAGTTACTTTGTTGATTAAACCATTCCCTGCAGTGACTGAACCATCGCTTGGCACGTAGTGGTCACTGAATAAATGCCAGTCCTTCTCTTTCTCTATCACTTCACCCAAGGCAAGAATGCTATTCAAATAATCCCCGAAATTTGTCACTCTGTCCTTGCTTGGATGGCCTCAGAGATGGAGAACTCACCACCATTCTTCATTGGTGGAACTCCCTGCACTGTTAGACCTCCAGGGTTGGCTGGGGCACCCTAGCTTCCACAGTAGTCTCTCCATAGTAAGCCATGAGTCTACTCCCTCCCGCTTCTCTCACACCCTTTCCACAGGTTGCCCCTACCTATGGGTCTCTCAGTTCTATCATGTTTCTCCTTGGTCAGGGCTACAGGTGGCCAACGGTCTTGGTCCCTTAGGACTCACCTCTGTCTGTACCAGGTTGACCCTCTGGGCCCGGAGCTCACGCACGCAGTTGAAGATGTCCACCACCCCTTCATTCTCGGCCATGTCAAGCATGGTGTCAATGGCAATGAAGCAGCCAGTCCGCCCAGCCCCAGCACTGGAAGAGAGGTATGGATCTTTGTTAAGGATCTTTGCAGGGGGACCTGCCCTGGGGAGGCCCCTAGCATTCAGCCCTATCCCCAAGGGTCCTGCTGAGAGGCCATATACAGCAGAAGTCAGACAGAACTGTCTGAATCCCAGCGTTCCTGGGGGATCTTGAGTAAGCATCTAAACTTAGACTAAGCCCCAGCCATCTCCTTTGTAAAATGAGAGAGTAGTGCTGGTCTCCGAGGGCTATTTTATCAGGACTGACTTATTTTAATGTGGTCATTTAGCAAAGGTTTATTCAGGGCTTACAAAATGCCATTGTTCTACGTGCTTTATAAATGTTACCTATAGATTTCCCTGTGAGGTTAAGAAGTTTCTCATCCCATTTCACAGGTGAGAAAACAGGCATAGAGGGCTTACCTTGCCTGACCGAGGTCACACAGCTGGCAAGTGGTAGAGCTGGAACTTTTACCCCAGCAGTCTGGCTCCAGATTATGTGTTCCCACATTTCCTTTCTTAATATGCATAGTTTGTAATGCATGCGCAAACCACACATATACATGCCGTTTCCTTGTCTGATGGATAAAATAATACATCTATATAGCATAAAACACCTAGCATGGTTCCTGGCATGCTGGAGATGTCTCATAGACATGTCTTTCCTATTTTCTACCCTTCTTTTCTCCTCTTTTTTCTTCTTCAGCAAATGGGTTGATGGATGGAAGCAAAGAAGGAGAGGAGAGAGAACAGAGGGGAGGTGAATGACAGGACAGAAACTCGAGTTCTCCGAGCTGCGCCCAAGATGGAGAGTGGATGGTGGAGCACAATGTTCAAAGACCAGCATCTGGCTCCATCTGCGGCTGTTTTCCCAGGATCATGAAGCAAGAGCATCATGAAACTGGAGCAGCTGACGGTCTGGAGACCCTTGTCAGGGATCAAGTTTCCGAAGCAAGAGCCTTATGAAACTGGAGCAACTGACCGTCTGGAGACCCTTGTCAGGAATCAAATTTCCTAATACATACTTGATTTCTGGTCACTAGTGGCTTCTTTAGGAGAATCTTAGACCAAGTACAAAATAGCAGAGGAACTCAATGAGACTCTATGGGCCTTGGCCAGCCCTTTCTAGATGAGTGCTGGGCTCTGAAACATCAGTGCCGACCAAGAGGCACATAAGACATGTGCCTCACACATGTGCAGTTTTGGATGGGAAGGCTGGGCAGCCTGTCAAGGAGGCCCCCTTCCACTGCGTTTTCACATCTTGCATTTCTCATGGAAACAAGCGTCTTTGTCTAACAATGTGGATGTCAAAAGAAACACAAAGAGGAAGAGAGATGGAACAAAACAAAAAAGCAATATTGGCTGATTATAAATCCAAGGAGCACAGGCTAGCGCGGACCACTACCTACAACAATTTGGAAAGTACACCCATCGGAAGCAGAGTCTTCATTCATGAGAAAATTTCATAGTTTAAGTTTGCTTCAGAACCTACTCCCCAAAATCCAGATGCGAGGACTCAAGAGACTCGGCGTCTGTATCTGGGAGGGAGTATAGGGGGTCACTCGTGTTTTTTCTTCAATGTTCATATTCAGCATGCTTTAGTATAAAGAACCAGCCCAGTTTGGTTCTGAATTTTGGAACTATCAGTGGTGACCAAGTTGCCTAGTGTCCGTTAGCTTCAGACTTCTGATGCATTTAACATACCTCCCTGCAGGGTCCTTGTGAAGACAGAGCTGTGTTTATTTCAGCATCACATAGTAATCAAACACAGGGTCTTTGAAGAGACCCCTAGAATTAAATCCTGGCTCTATTACTTACTAGCTGTGTGACCTTGGGCAAATGACTTAACCTCTCTGGGTTTCAATACTCATCTATAAAATGATGTTAATAATTAATAGATCTACCTCACAGCATTAATAGCCTAATATGTATAAATTGCATGGAATTACAATTAAAATGCATAATGTATACACATTGCTTTGTGCCTGGATACATAATAATTTCTCAATAAAAGTCTTAGTAGACTCTCATAATGGCTATTATATTCAACAAATATTTATTGAAAATGTAAGATGCAGTAGATGCTGGGATTAGGAGTGGGAATACGGAAACATTGTTCCGTTCCTGAAGGATTAATAATCTGGGGAGGGGGAGAAGACATTAAGAGGCAGAGAATAATGATACATTAGAGTGCTCACTACATGTCAGGCATTCTCTCTTAGGCACTTAGTACACTTAGCCAACCCATTTGTTAATAATTTTCAGAACAGACCCAGGAGTGGGTACCACTCTGCTCAGATGCATTAAGATGACCTGCTATGGAGATACGTAAGGCCTTAGAGCCATCATGCGCAGAGGGCCTGATAAACATTTGCCATTGTCTTTCTTTCTCCCTAACTCTTGATCTGGGTGCTCTTTGGGATATAGAGATGGGGGGATTAATGATCTATTGCCCTTCGATTGCTGTGAGATATAAAGCAGAGAATACATGCAAAACACTTAGAGAGTCCAGAATTACCTCCTCATACTCACTTGCCTTATCTGTGAAATGGGGTTGTGTAGCTACTATTGCTGGGAAGATAAATGGGTGCTGTATGAAGATGGGGCTGGCTCTGAGACATCTACAGCTTCCGTGGTCTCTTGACTGACACAAACTGCCAGGGAAGGGATGTGATAACTCAAGCATCCAAGGTCTGAAAAGATGGGCTGGTCCAAGGTCATAGTGGAAGAGAGAGGCAATGGGAAGGAGGGGGATGCCAGCTGGCCGGGCTTCGGGTCAGGAAGGCCATCCTCCTCCAATTCTGGACACCCCTGACATCATACTTCATCTCCATTTGGGAGGATTCGAAGATGTGCCACTCATTCTCAATGTGACTTTCTAGGTCAGAGCTGAAAATCTCTCTTCTCCATAATAAGGTAAAACCTGGTGCTGTCCATTTCTCTCTATGAGGGACCCTGCAGGCTGGCAACTGATTTTGAAAATAATAGAAATGAAAAGAAGCATGCTTCCACCAAGGCACCCTGCTGCCATGTCAAGGAGCTGAGGGCGAGTGTCTGGAGAAAAGCAGGTGAAATATTCCCACTCTGTGTTTACCTTCTCAGCACTTGAGTTTTTGTATATGTAAAATGGGAATGATAATAATGCCCACCTCTCAAGACTGGATGAGAAGTAAATTAAATAATGTGGGTAAAGTGCACATGACAGACCCAGCAGATGCTGCCAGTGTTCAGCCTGCCTCCCTGGTGACCTCACTGTTTTCAGACAACAACAACAACAATGGCCACTACTGCTCTTCCTCTTGTTAGTTGACCTTGCGACCAAGTCTCATCAGAAAGAATGGGGGACACAGGAAGAGGAGTCTCTAAGAGTAAAGCCACTAGAAAAGATAGCATGTCCCTCCCAAGAAAGCTGAGGTGCAGAGGCACTCTAGGGTAGTTGGAGGAATTCTTTCTTTTTTTTTTTTTGAGACAGAGTCTCACTCTGTCACCCAGGCTAGAGTGCAGTGGCGCGATCTTGGCTCACTGCAACCTCCCCTCCTGGGTTCAAGCAATTCTCCTGCCTCAGCCTCCCAAGTAGCTGGGATTACAGGTGTGTGCCACCACACCCAGCTAATTTTTTGCATCTTTAGTAGAGACGGAGTTTCACCATGTTGGCCAGGCTGGTCTCGAACTCCTGACCTCATGATCCGCCTGCCTCGGCCTCCCAAGGTGAGGGACCTTTGACTTACCTGCAGTGGACCACTATGGGCCCTGCTTCTGGGGGGTTGAGGAACTTGACCTGGCGGACGAAGCCCAGAAGGCCAGTGGCGTAGCAGGGAACGCCGTGGTCAGGCCAGCTGGTGAAGTGGAAGAGGCGGAGCTCCCGGATCTCATGGTAGCCTTTCTGAGGAAAGAACAGGCCTCTGTTCTTCCAGCTGCTGCCCTCACATACCCAGCCCAGCAACACATGGAGCCACAGCTGCTGCACCGAGGAACCTCCAGCAGGGACAGGGCCCTCACAGTGTTAATAGGTGTTACTGCATAGAGCCATTCTGTGATCAGTTACATTTGGGAAACATGGGATTGTTACAATGAAACTGATGGCTTTATTACAGGACTTCTCAGAGTCTTGAGTGTGCTCAAACACACTCTGAATGCCTAGGGGGCCACAGAGCACCCTAGGAGACCTCCTTTTGTTTGCCTAGGGGATGGTCTTTGACAAGTGTTTCATAGGAGGTGTATCGAGTAGAACGGATTTAAAGAAATGTTGGCCTTAACGACCAAGTCCAAATTATTTCCAGTGGAATCTGAGGCTTTCAGTGATTGAGGTCTGATGTTCTGTCGTGTTCCAGCCTTGACTATGATAGTCTGCGTGACTTTCAAAATGTATATAACTTAGTCGATTTCTTTATTAATTAGATTCTTACTTAGAATGATTAGATAAGATACGAAACAAACAAAAGCAGAGCTTCTCTGATTGATGGAGACAGAGTGGGTCCTAGAACTCTGAGCGGTTCTCCTCCCTTTTCACATTCCTTCACCCCTCACAGACATACACTCCAGTCCCAACAGTGGTTTTCTGACTATTCCAAGGTCAGATCACACTTCTCAGCCTTTGCTTAGACAGTTCCTGCTACCTACTATTTTTCTGCTTAGCAATCTCCTGTAGATACCCAGAGAGCACTGAATAGGAAGAGTCTGTTTGATTTTTCATTCCTTCAGTTAAAAATCATTTACCAAGTGTGACCTGTGCCCAGCCTTGTGCTAGGTACTAGGAAGGTGAGAATAAAAGCCATAGCTCCTATCCCTGGAACAGCTCGTGGCCTCGTCGGGGAGGCAGATGCCCAAGTGGGTAATTCTGTTGAAGTGGATAAAGGAGTACCTGCTAACCTGATCTGAGGAGAGGAGAAATCAGAGAAGGCTTTCTAGAGGAGGTGATGCTTGACCTGAATCTTGAAACAAACTAATAGTGAAAATAATAGCTAACATTAACTAAGCATTTACGTGTGTCAGTCACTCTTCTGAACACTTCAGCATGCTAACTTATTTAATCCTGATATAAATCCCTATATTTTTATCTCCACTTGATGGATCAGGAAACTGAGGCTGAGCAAGGTTAAGTGACACACCCAAGGTCACAGTACAACTCATAAGTTGTAAAGAGATGATGTGAACCCTGACTGGCTGTCTCCACAGTCTGCACTCTTAATCATTCTAATATACCGATGTGTGAGTATTACCCAGTTGACGGGAGAAGAGGAAGGGAATCCAAGGCAAGGGGACAGCATGGGCACGGGCCTGGGGACAGGGCTTAGCATGGCATGTGCAGAGAATCACTAGCAACCCAGGGCAATGCTAGAGGCAAGTGGAAGGCAGGCCATGGGGGACCACAGGCCTGGGGGTGTAGGAGAATAGATGAGAGCTGGATCCCAGAAGTCCTTGAATCTACATTAAGGCCTTTGGACTTTATCTCAAAGGCATTGGGAAGCTACAGGGAGATTACACAGATGGGTCCACACAAGAGGAAATGTATCATTAGACTTGTATTTTAGGAGGCTGCATCCTGCTACATGAAGGATGGATTCAGGTGGGTGGATCGGGGGTTGCAGAGAGGGCACTATTGGTACCTACTCAGATCCCCATCACTGGGTCAGTGGACTCATTGCCAGCTGCTCTGAGTCGTGTCTGTACACAGCTCACAGTTACCCTCTTCTGAAGAGGACTGTTCTCAGGTGAACAGGAACGCCCTCCCCGGGGGTGTGGCTGGGTGGGGCAGCATCCTCCAGTGACTGATAGTTGAGGGAGAATGACCAATTGGCTTGCCACTTGCTCAGTCGGCCCAGGACTGAGGGGTTCCCCGGTACGTGGGACTTTCAGTGCTAAAACCAGTAATGTTCTGGGAAAAACAGAAATTTATTTTTACCCTAAGGGGGGCCCCTGAGGCCCCTTTGCTTCAAGGTTGGACCAAGTGTGCAGTACCACTCATGTTCCAGGGCTCTCATGGGTTCAGGTGGAAGCAAGTCTCTGCTGAGGCCACATCCTCACTCAGCTCCCTTCCCCACTCCGTCCTGGCTCTCTCACCGCCTTCCGCCTGCAAACTCTCCCTCAACACACGAGCCAGGGCACCTAAACCCCTGCTGCTTCTGGCTCTGCTTCTGGGAAACCCAAACTAACATAGGGGCAGGACTAGAGGCAGACAGTCCTGTTAGGAGGGAGAAACCAGAGGCCCAGATTAAGGCCATGATGGATGAGCTGAAGTGAGAGAGGAGAAACCTTCAAGAATACTTGGACTTTTTCCACACCATCCTCCAAATCAATTCAGTCCCAAGAAGCCCTCCTTCGAGCTCTTCCCACCTGTGCTATGATGATTTATCAAGGATCTTCTCTCCCTGATGTGACTGTGCTATCTTCAAGGGCAGACAGCACTCCCTGTTTATTATTTCCAGGTTCCCAGCTCAGGAACCGATTTTGAGCTAAAACCACAGGCGATGTTTGCTGAGTGCCTGCCTGCGTGCTGTGGAGAGGCTGGCTAAGCCCAGTTAATCCTCAGAGGCCCTTGGGGTCTTTTAAGGGCATCTCCCTATGAGTAATATCTTCCCTCATGGTTGTTTAAAAGACAAAGAAAATGTAGCCCAAGAAAGGACCATAATTCTTCAACATGGTTTGCTAGCTGCAATTCCTCAAGGCCTCCCTGCCCATGTCCCCAGTCACTCATCCCATCCTCGGGCATCCAACACAGATGTGACAGATGAAACTGGTATCCCACCTGGGTCCTTTTCCTTGGGCCTATGCTCCCAGGCCTCAGCTGCAGGGACTGTTGGTTGCTACTGCCTCCCAATTGTCCCCTTCTCTGGAGACATGCCCTCAGTTGACAGGGGCTGGCCCATCCTGGAGGTTACCCCTCAGTGGATGGTCCACGGTCAGCAGACTGACTGATGTGGGAGCACAGAGGTCTGGCTTCCTTGCCTTAAGGGGGACAACCCTGTGGCATGGTTTATCCTTGGAGGTTCCCTGTGGATTGCCTCTAGGCTAGACTTCACTGGAGCCTCTGCCCTTGGCTGGTGTCTTTCCTTCCCTCTCCTGCTTCCCACTCTCTTAGGAATTTTTCCTAGGAGAGCTCCCTTGATATACCTTACGTTCCTGAATCCTTGCCTCAGGCTCTGCTTCTAAAAAACCTGACCTAAGGCAACATCGAAGTCCCGATGGTTTCCTTCCTTCTAGTGCAGGGAGTTCACAGGCTTCCTGACTTTTTCACCCAAGACTGCGGACTCAGATGAAAAAGACCCTGAGACTTTAGGAGTCTGGGGGTTGGAGTGGGAGCTTCTGGGGGCAAACAGTATGTCCTAGGCCACTTTGTATGCTGGAACAGTACTGTGTGCATGCCGGGCTCTAGTCTGCAGAGCAGCCTATTTTGGCCCTTGCAAGGACTTGTCCAAGCCTCAAGGGCATAGCTCTCAAAGCATGTAAGTCTCCAGTGCTTTTGCATCCTCAGGCCTGTGGCCATGTTGTCTACTAAAGTGGCTGGTTTTAGAGGAATGGAACCTGTGGTGTAATGGAAAGAGAAGTGTGTTACAGGGGCCAAGGTGTGATTCCTGGTTCTACCAGCCTTGCAGCTGGGCAACTTTGGACAACTGATTTAAACTCTCTGTGTCTCAGTTTCTTCATCTGCAAAATGGGGATAATAACAGCTCTTACCTTATAGGGTTGCTGGGAGGATTAACTGAGTTACTCTACGCAAAGCATTTAGAAAAGTATCTGGTTCAGTAAGTGCTCAGTAAATGTTAGCTATCATTATGATATAATAGTAATGATAGAATAGCAATGATTATATAATAAGTTATAAATATATGTATTATTATTTGCAATCACATTCTTGCTCACCAAGCTTGTACAGCCCTGGCCTCCTTTTAATGTCTAGATCATCATTTTTCAACCTCGACACTACTGATGCCTTGGGCTGGAAAATCCTTTGTTGTCGGGGCTGTCCTGTGCATTGTGGAATATTTATAAGCATCTCTGGCCTCTACCCACTAGGTGCCAGTACCATCCTAACCCTTCTCCCCCAAGTTGTGTCAACCAAAAATGTTGCCAGACATTTACAAATATTCCTTGGGGGATCAAAATGCCCCCGGTTGAGACCACAGGCCTTGAACAGCTTGAGATCATTTTTTTCCCCCTCCAGACTGCATGTTTTTTCCTTCTGCCTGGGATAGCTCTTCTTTCCTTTCTACCCTGCACTGGTTCCTCCTCCTTCATTCTCTGCCCAAACGCCTCCTCCACTAAGAGGCCCTCTCCCACCACCCCATCCTCCTGTGGATTTCTATCTCCATCCTTTGCATATTCCTGTGTGACTTTTATCACAATGCGTTGTTATTTCATTGACTTGCTTATTGAATTCAGTTTGTCCAGCCTACTAGATGTGGGATCCATGGTAGCAGGATCCATGTCTGCCCTGATTGCTGATCTGTTGCTGGTGCCAAGCATGGGGCTGGACATAGAGCAGACCCTCGGTCACTATGTGTTCTGGATGAACAAAGAAGCCAGCTCTCATGGTGGACCGGCTGCCCACAGCCTCTGGGAAGCTTACCTTCTGGACTGTGAAGGTGCGTATGACATATTCTGCCAGGGGCTCTGTTTCAATCAGGGTGACTTTAATGTCTCCGTAGACCTCCGTGTCATCTGGCCAGTATCGCACACATTTCACCTGTGGCCAAGTGAGAGACAGAGACAGAACAAAGACAACGATGCATAAGCATATGGCTGAGTGTGAGCAGCTGTCTCATCTGGTCGTCCCATTCAAATAAACCCAAGGGTGACTTTGGTGGCATTTCAGTCCACAGGGTTCACAGCTGGCCAGGGATCAGCAAGCTGCACAGGGCTAAGCTCCCTCCCAGAGGCACTGGAGCCATTAGAAATAATTGTAGTACCTTCTTTTGCAAAGCTCCTTGTAATTTTCCAATGCATTATCACACTACGTCATCAAATAGAACAAGGTGAGATAGGTGGGTGTTACTAGCCCCACTTTACAGATGAAAATAACACTCAAGTTTAGAGGTTTGGTGACTTGTCCAAGGCCATGTGGCCAGTTTGGGGACTGACTGAGTCCCCTTTCTGCTCTGTCAGGGTGGAGCAGCTGAGTATTATCAGCTGAGCGAAGATGAGACTAAAAGGTGGGAAACAGGAGGTGGAAGCAGAAGTGGTTGGGAGGTGGACATCATTAAGAGGTGGCAGGTAGGGGTCTGGAAGGAGAAAGGCTCTTGGTTGGGGAAAGGATGGCAGGTGCTGGACTCCAAGGGAAGACGCGCAGCTCCTCTCTGACCCTGGACGCGAGCAAGCCATTCCCCAGTTGACTGTTTAAGTCACACTCATGGATGAAAAAGAGATCATGGTTTTCCCCTTAAAAGAACAAAAGCATGATTACCATTCCGGGGGACGCTGCACGGCCTAGAGTGGCATTTCCCACAGTGTGTTCCGCTGGGTGCTAATAGGTGTTAGGTAAAAAACAAGAAACAAAAAACAAACAAAAAAAGGTTTTGTGGTCAAATGAGTTTGGGAAATGCTGTATTACACAGTTAAATAGGTAGCTTTGCTACAGGACTACTCAGCTTCTTTCGCATGCTAGTGCTAATGTGTTTTGTGTTTTGCGACTCTCCAAAAGGGGCACAGAGGATGCAGCATTTCCCAAACGTATTTAACCATGGAACCCTCTTCTCACTAAGCATCCTGCAGACTAGCATCCCATGGAACCCACTTAGGGAAACACTGGTATAGTGCAACAGGACATGGGGGCAAATGGATTCATTGCTTGGTCCTAACACTCAGTATCTGGGTAGCCCCAGAAAGTGCTGAAACCTCTCGGAGCCTCAGCTTCCTATCAATAATGATAGCTAACATTTACTGACTGTGTACTGTGTCTACCATGGCTCACAAAGTGTTCCGCAAATACTTTACATGTGTTATTCTAATGACTTACCAACACGACTTGATGAAGTAGGTATTATTATCCCCATTTTGCAGACGAGGAAGCATAGGAAAGCTAAGAAAATTGCCCAAGGTCAACTGTTGGTAAGGACGGAGCCAGGATGCAAACCCAGGGCACTTGAATAATAACTAGGAACATGGGCTCCTATGATTGTTGTAAGTTGTGGGAATGCACAGGAAGGGCCTGGCACAGTGTTTGACACTAGCAGAAGTTTAAGAGATTGCTTTCCTCCCCAAATCCAATTTAGATTTATGGTCTATCCATCGAGGGAGTCTGTTTCCAATGTGGGATATATTGTAGAACAGGCTGAAATTTGCTTCTGAATCCTGGGCTGGCCTTTATATCCACAGTAGCTGCACCCTGGGCCTGAGTCCCTGGGGAACAGTCTGAGTGGAGTGATCATGAGCGCTGGAATGAGAGTCCACTGTCAAATTTTGTGCCTAGGTTTTGGCTGAGTGACGTCAGGGTAGGTACTCTACCCCTTTAGGTCTGTTTCCTCATCTGTAAAATTGAGTGATGGACTAGATAAGGGTGGACTCATGGATAAAGTCTCACCTGGTCCTAAATTCCCATTAGGCCCTGAGATGTCCATACCCCTTTACTGGATTACAAAAGCCCAGATTTTCTCCTTCCCATCATCACAGAGGCCAGAATTCATCTTTATGAATTATCCGTTTCTTACCCAAGCAAAAACTTACCTGCCCACATTTTAGTTAGTTCATATGGTGTGTAGAGAGCCCTTTTAATTGTAGTATTTGTACACCTTGCCTTTAAACTCAGCAGCCTACCCACATGCCAGAGTTAACCAAGTAGGCAAAAGCAAGCTGGGAATAGCAGTCCCATTTCTAAGCCCCAGGAGTAGTTGAGGACCACCTCAGAGAGAGTTGAGATGGAGCAGAGCAGGAGACCAAGATCTGAGCCCTGAAGAACATCAAGATTTCTTGAGGTCAGGGGAAGAAAAGCGGGTAGCAAAGGGTTGGATGCCGCTGAGGTTGAGTAAGATGAGAAGAGAGAAGTGGGGACTGGATTTGTTGACATGAAGGATGCGAGTGATATTGACAATATCACTATTGGTGGGATGGAGGGAGGAGCTACGCTGGGGTGGGTAGAAGAGAACATGAGTGAAGAAACAGAGCCTCTCTGTGAGTCTTTAAAGTTTGGCAGAAAAGCAGGAACAAGAAGATACTTTTTATTTACCTTTTCCTTTCTTTTTAAGATGGAAGGTACTGGGCGTGATTGTATGCTAAGGGGAACAATTTGGCAATGAGAAAGAGACTTATTTTGCAAGCGAGAAAGGGAAAAATGAAAAAAATTATTGAGTAGAATCTGTGATCCAGGCACGAGGTTTGCCTTTGGAAGGGCAGAGACATGGCTTCTGTTGTATTAGGCTGAGCTATAAGAAACGGTTGACATTCGACCATTTGAGTCAGCAAAAACAGCCATTTCTTATAGTCAAACCTGACAGCAGAGGAGAAGAACAAGAGGATGGTTGTAGATACAAGTAGGATTGCAGCTTTATGGTGTGACGATGAGGGAGTGCATGACTGATGGTTTTAATTTCCTCAAAATATATGAGATGACATCATCAACGGAGAGTGAGGGTGGAAAAAGGGATGAAGGGGATTTGAAGGGAAAGGACATTGCTTGAATGTGGAATAGGAGTGATGACATCTCCCTTGTAGGTTGCTATGAGGGTGAAATATTGACTAGGAGGCACTTAGCACAATGCGTGGAACAGAGAGATGTTCGAGAGGGCATCTCCAGCATCCTCTGCCCAGGCGAGTGCGGGAGAGGCTTACCCTGCCCACCTCCACCAGGTTTGTGACCATGACGATGCTGGCAGAGTTCTCCTGCCAGATCATTCTCCAAAAGTCCTTTACGGTCTCCTGCATTGGACCTGACAACAGAGAAGGCAGTGAGGTTAGAGAATGCAAGTGCAAAGCAGCAGCTGAGAAGATTTGTCCCTCTGGTTGGTCAAGTCTCCACACTGGTGAGCAGAAGTGAGGCCGGTGATCCTCGTTAAGATACCAAGTATCTGAGACATGGGCCTGAGACATGTGAGCCTGATGGGGACAGATTAGGGTATGGATGGGGAAAGCCTCATTCCAAGCTCTCACAATCTGCAGCATCTACTGGAAATGTTGGCAGCCCCTCCTCTCTCTTCTGTCCTCCTCCTGCTCAGACCCTTCCTACCAACTCCACGTATCGCCTTATCTGGACTGTATTACGGCTTGAGGGAGTTTTCAAAAACTGGGCTCGAGAACCTCCATGACAGACAGGAAGGCAATTGGGGTGGGGGGATGGAGAGAGCTGCTGGGTGCCAGATGCCGAGAACAAAAACAGGAGATGCCTGATTTTGAGCTTGACAAATGCTGGAGGCATTCCTCTAGAGCCTGAACAGAAAGGAAGAGGGGAAAAAAAAAAAAAAAAAAAAAGAAAGACGAGGAGCAGAAAATAGGCTCTGACAGTCCAAAGCAATTTCCTTGGAAATTACTCTTTCAATGTCCTGGGCCTTCATCATTTTTAAAATTACAAAAGTAATATGTGTGTTTGATATAAAAGTTTGAATACCATTTTTCTATATTTATATGTATATGTGTGTATTTACTGTAATAAGCATCAAACCTATTATATGTATTTTCTGATGCCCTTAAAAATTCTTACCAAGCATAATAGTTTTAATAGCTGCAAGGTTTTCTATAATATGGCGGTAACACACTTTATGTAACCAATGTACCAATTGTTGGGCATTTAAGATTTTTCACTTTTTTATTCCTATTATAGATAACACCGTGAAGAATGTTCTTATATGCGTCATTGTCTATATATATAATTATCTGCAAGATTTTTTTTTCCAGAAGGGTTTGAAAGGTATGATCACTTTTAAGCCTTCTGAAAACGCACTGCCAAGTTACTTTCTAGGGCAGCCAGCTGCATGTCTGTTATGGGCACGCATCTATCATGGAGATAAGGCACCATCAGCTTGGGCCTCTCCCTCCTGACCATTTCCAAGTGACAGCTTCTTACTCTGTCACTCATGGGCCTTTCTCCTATAGTGAAACTTGCCACCATTTTCCTTCCCAAATAAACAACTGAACAATCTCAAGGACCTCTGGAGATTCTTCAGCCTACCCCTCTGTGACTTCTTTGCTGGTGGAAACTCATTCCTCTCCTCCAGGGCTGTTTAGTGAAAAAGGAGGGTTGGAGTAATAGATATAGGAGGAGAGGACAAAAGCCTTGCATTTAAGAGAGCCCTTTCCCTTGGGACCCCTGAAGCCTCTCTGAGGCACTAGGTGGAGGGAGGGCACTTACCTTGAGTTGCAATGTAGTGTCGAGGTCGATGGTATCCCTGGATAACAGGAGAAAAGCACTGAAAAATCTGTTGTCAAAGCTTGCAGACAGCACAATATTAATAAACATCCTCTCCGAGTCTTGATTTTCTCATGGGCAAAATGAGAACAGCATCAGTTATTCCCAGAGAAGTGGCAAAGGTTAAATGAGATGTTGCACATAGAGTGTGCAGTAAGTCACTAAATGCTAGCTATTCTTGTAGTTACTTGTGAGGTGCCTACATAGGCTTGCCTTGGAGCCAGTGGCACTGGGAGCAAAGATTTGATGGGCATCACTTATCCTTATGCACCCAAAAAGAGGTAGAGAAGGAGTTTTCAGGTTTATGGGGAGCATCAACCACCAAAAAGTCTTTCTTGAGCCATGATTTTATGAAGAACACTGTACAAGACCCTATGGGACACCCAGAGAAGAAAGAGAAAAAAAAACAATTCAATTGTTGACTCCTTCCATTAGTAACAATTAGAAAAAGAAAATTGAGAAGTATCCCACATTGCTTCTCTATGCCAACATTCCTGGGCTTGGAATTGAAGTCCCAGGTACGGAGAAGACCTTATGGAGGTGTGACTTGGGAGACCCATAAAGATACCTGCAAATTCAAAGACCAGTTTCTAATTTCTGTGTACATTTCAGAGCGCTACAGCAGGCCTTGCTGTACTCTGGCTGGGCAGTACCCTGCTGCCCCATAACCTTCATCATTGGAGAAGAGGTTGAAGGTGACCCCTCTTTTGCCTGGGCATGGCATACATGGAGTGTCCTTTTTCCAGTTACAGTCATATTGAGTAGAATTTAAGTTTTGAAGACAGACCTGCATTTAGTGCAGAACACTGAATGCAATTCATATTTGTTAAATAAATACATGAGTGAATGAATGAATACATGAATAAATTTTTTAAAGAACACAGATGCCAATTATGGACCCTATCAATTGAGAGATTGTTGACAGTCCTGAAATCCACTTAGCTTTTATGGTTAACCATGTCCAGAGAAAATAAGTCCTAACGTTTGATGGATACCTGCCTTTGTCTTAGATGTTGCTGACCAGTCTTTTTGTCCTGTTGAGGTGGATGAACTGCCTTGAGGCCACTTTCTTCAGGAAATAGAACTGCCATCTGTATGGTTTATGGTGCCATAGATGTGGCATCTCTAAAGTTCTAGACCCACTTTCTGATTCAAAGACAAGTTTCTGAGTCCCTTGTACATTTCTGCACCTTTGTGTTTCACTTGCTCAATAATGATTTTGCAGGCACCTTCCAATTGCTGGGCCTGCTCTAGAATTGGAGGTCGGCACCAATCCAGGGACAATGTCATGACCAGAACTGTTGGATTAACCACAGTTAGTGAACAACCCCACTTAAAGTCTGTGCTTGAGAAATCCTATGTACTTAATGAGGTTGTCAGTTTCTTAAGGACAAACACTCCCTACTAAGCTTAAATTTTTTTCCCACAGAGCTCAGCACAATGTGAGACTCAGAGCAAATACCCAATAAACAAGCTGTTGACAAACCAACTAGGCAGGCAACATAGCATGGTGATTATGCATACCATGGACTCTGGAACTCAGCTGCCTGGGTTTGAACACTGGCTCTGTCCCTTCTAGGGTTTGTGGTCTGGGGCAAGCTACTTAGCCTCATTGTGCCTCAGTTTTAAAATTCACAATAGCAAAGATATGAAATCAACCTACGTGTCCATCTCAATGGATGATTGAATAAATTATATATATATAGTATTCAATATGTATATTATGGATATATATATGGAAAGATATATATATATATGGAAATATATATATGGAAAGATATATATACATGGAGATATATATGTATGGAGAGAGATATATATATGGAGATATATATATATGGAAAGATATATATATACACACACAGTATTCCATGGTGTGTGTGTATATACACACATATATATACACACACACCATGGAATACTACTAAGCCATAAAAAATAATGAAATCATGACTTTTGCAGCAACATGGCTACATGGACGGACCTGGAGGCCATTATCTTAAGCAAAAAAACTCTCAGAAACAGAAAGTCAAATACCACATGTTCTCACTTACAGTGGGAGCTAAATAATGTGTACATATGGATGTAGAGTATGGAATAGTAGACACTGGTGGCTCAGAAGGGTGGGAGGGTAGGAGGGTGGTGAGAGGGATGAGAAATAATTTAATAGGTGCAATGTGTACTATTCAGGTGATGGTTACATTAAAAGCCTATACTTCACCACTGTGCAATATATATAGTAACAAAACTGCACTTGTACCCCCTAAATCTATAAAATTAAAAAAATTAATAGGGATAATGGTATTTACATCATAGTGTTGTTGATCAGATTAAATGAGTTGATATATAACAGTTACTATGTGCCAGCCCTATTCTAAGATTTAACATAAATGTCTTTGCTATTGTTATTTTATTGTTTATTTGGCAAACATTTATTTACTGAGTGCCTATCAAGACTAAAAGTATATGCACACCTCTCAGGGGATACTGGGATGATGAGACCTTCTTTGTGTTAATGTAATAACTGAGCCCTTCCCTGTGACACAAGTGGTAGGAGGACCTATCCCTTCCTCCAAGTCAAGTGGACAGGGCTGCTCAGGCTAAAAGAAAGAAGTAAACCCAAGGGTTTTCTTGAGTAGCTTTGGGAATAGAAAATGGTCCCCTAGATCCTGGAAAGATGCAGTTTCTCAAGTCTACCCTCTTCTGCCATCCCCATCACTCATTCCCACAGCCCTCATCCTCCCTGGCTGAGGCCACAACACTAACTTCTAGCTGGCCTCCCTGCCTGCAGTTTCACTCTGTAGCCTTGCTGCTTCCTAACCCCATGAGCTTCTTCTTGCACACTGAGTGTGTTATTTCCCTGCTTATAAGCCTGCAGTAGCTCCCTGTTGTCTGCATGGTAATGCCCAAATGCCTTAGCTTGGGACTAGTCATCTGTCTCCATTTTCATCTCCAGCCTTACCGCCAGTTGTCCCTCTTTGTCCACTCCTACAACCCCGTGCACCCTGTGCTTCAGCCTCACCAAGCTGCTCTTGAAATATGCCCTCCTCTGGGATGCAGAGTTGACTCCTTTCTTCTGAGTGGCCCAGTAGGGCTTTGTATATGTTCAGTGAATACAATTCCATGTGCTGCAGTAAATTTTTTTGTACTTTTCTCCTCCTGGGCCATGGGACATGCCAGCCAGAGCTGGGTGCAGTTTTCAGCAGTCTGGTTGGTGAAATACATGCATGAGTGTTTTTGAGCTGAAGTTGGAGCATCCTCTTAATGCTCAGGCTGGAAGAAAAAGAGACCCTGGAGGAAGCTGTGATTTGGAAGATTCTAACGTGCTTGAAATTCAGTGAGATAACATTCTGAGCAAGAGATTCACATTTTAGTTGTGGAGTTAGATGGCTTGGATTCTCTATTTTGTGAGTTCATTTGTTTGCACATTCACTGTCAATCAACAGGTATTAATTAAGCACCTACTACTATGTACAAGGCACTAGAAATACAAAAGTGGACCCGATGAATGTGGACTTTGCTTTTGAGCAACTTGTAGACATCAACAGACTGGGGTAAAGGCTACTAATGGGAAGATGTGGGGACTCTGTGGAGCACCCATGGGAATTGAACAGCCAAGGAGGGCACCTCAGAGGAAGTGGTGGTTGATTGGCTCCTTAAGCCTGGTTTGCGCATCTTGACACCTCTTGTCATTTCCATTTCATCGTTTCAATGATGTTCCCAGTTTCTCTACCATTCTTTCATCATCCACTGGTTCTTGCTCTTCTTCAGAGATAGGGATCACATGTCCATCCAGAGGCCTTAGCACTGGCCGTTCCCCGTGCCTGCTATGTCTGCCCTCAGGTAACTGAGTGGCTTGCTCTCTCACTCCATCCAAACTTCTGCTCAGTTGTCAATCACGTCTGTGGAGAGTTCATCTCTGACCACCCCATCAGCTTCTTTCCACTTGCTCTGGCTTACTTTTCTTTAGAGAACTTATCACCAAATAGCACACTATTCTTTCTTCATTTACATGCTCCCCCAGTTGAATGGGAGCTCCACAAAGCCAGGGCTGTATCTGGCTTGCTCACGGCCATGTCCCCAGCACCTAGAAGTCAGCCTGGGCCATTGGCCTTGAAAAATTCATACTGACTGAATACACGCATGCTGTGTGCCTGTTCCCATGCTGCATCTGAGTAAAGAGACCCACCTTGGCTTCCAAAAACCCACGCAGTCCCCAAAGAGAAAACATTCCAACCACGAGACTCCTCAGCAAAGGAGATAAAAGGAAATGTACTGCTCAATTGGGGCTCCTCTGGGGATTCGCCAAGAGCGAGTACAGAAAACTTCCTAACCTTAAAAGAACTTTGAGTTCATTTAAGTCCCACCTACACAGCACGCAGATCGACTGCAAACCAGCACTGGGCCTGCCTCCATCTGTCTGTGAGCAATGGGAAAGAGGTTTGCATCCAAAACGCATTTATCTCTCTCTGCACTCATGCATCTGTTACTTACTGGGGACCCAGATACGATATTTATTTCCAGGCTGGTAATTTATAACAGATTTAAGTGGCCAATACATTTTCGGGTGTGCAAACAAACCTGCCAGCAGGATGGTTCAGACAGTAACAGACCACGGCCTCCGGAGGCAGAGACAGGGCTGGCCCCATTCAGCTCATTATCCCAATAGAGTTATTTTAATGAATCATCAAGATCCAATTGTAGAGAAATGATTCTAGCGTGGGCAGTTAGCTCATTAGAGAGCCAGGAAGGATTCTGGCTGGGTTGGAGACCAGGGTGATGGAGTGAGGACCGAGTTAGCTGTCTGGAGCACTGTTTTGCCAGGAACCCAAATAGAGACCCCAGGAATTTTATCTTTGCTGGAGTATATAGTTGGTTCGCAATTAATGGAGTTCCTCACTCTTCACTTTATAGTGGTAACGGTGCAAGGAGTTGCTTGTGGTTGGTTATCTTCCTTTTGTCCCTCCATTTCCCCTTTTTCCTTCCATGGGCTGCTCTGTATGGATCGTACCATGGGCTCCTATGCTTTTTGCTTCAAATTGGGTTTAGTCAATGGGGAACAAAAGCAGGAGCTCAGAGACCAGGAGGAGGTTGGGGCATATGTTCTTCTAGGTTCCTCCCTGCCAGGTCACCATGGCTTGCTTGACCTTGTCACTCAATCAAGGGCTTCAGTTCTTGAAGGGCAGCCCTCTCTCATAGCTACTGTCTTCCCTTATCTGGGTCTAGGGCTGGTAAGGACTCCCTACTATTGTTAGCCTAGTGATACTGCACTCTACTCTACTGGTTTCTCTTAATCCTGTTCACATCTTTATTAAACTTTCCCTGGGTACCCACTTTGAGGAAGCCTATGTCTCCTTTTGGGATCATAACAGATACTTAACATCAGTTATTGCACACTTGTGGGGTGGCACCACTATCTCATTTTATAGCTATCAGAATGAGTAATTTACCCAAGATCATAAAGCTAGTAATCACAAAGGCCTGGATTCAACAGCCAGGCCTTCGACAAAGACCAGATTCATGACTTTATTAGCCCTGGATTCTAACCACTGAGATTCAGCCCAGAGTTCAATATCCCAAGATAAGACAGCATGAACAGAGGCCATTTGCCCTGTCTGCCTAACCTATTCTTACAGACAGAAGGAAGAGGTCGTGGTGTGTCCTAAGTGGGCAGAGAATTGAAGTTCAGTTGTGTGACCTTGGACAGTGCTCTTAACCTAGAGCTCTGGTTTCCTGTCTTTAAAGGCTTGAAACATGTCTTGTAATGATAAAACAGGAAAGGAATCAGAGGCATAATTAGCACTAGTGTTGTAGAGATTAACTTACACTGAAAGCAGTTTCATTTGTTGCCTATAAAATACCAAAGTGTGTCTTGGCCCTGACTGTAGTCAGATGCTCATTCAACTTTGGATTGAGTGCCTATCTAGGAAAATGACTTTTGCTGGGGGATTCTAGTCAAATGATGAATGCCAGATACAGAAACTCAGGCATGCCAGACCCTGTGTGGGCTGTGGTCCTTAGGGTCACATCCACGCAGCCATAGACAAGGTTGAGGAGAAATGGAAGAATCAACTCAACCTGCATCAATATATGCTGACTCAGTCCTGGCTGTGTGTTGGCTACAAGGTGGTGTCTGGCACTGGGTGGGGAGGGGAAGGAGAAAGAGTGCTAAACTGGGAGCCATTCAGGTCTAGTTCCCATCCTGGTTCTGCCCCGACCAGCTGCATGGCCTGGGACATATTTGTAACTTCTCCAAACCTCAGCCCTTTCCATCTGGAGAATGGGAATGATAACACCTACCTTGAAGGGTTGTGAAGAGGTTTTGATAAGCTGACTTACTTAAGCCACCCATCATAGGACCCAAGACTGACTCATTAAGAGCCAATTGGTGGTGTCATTGCTCACTGTGATTTAATATTAAAGACAGCAGGGTATGGTGGGAGAGGTACTCTTGACTCAGATTTCTGCTCCCTCCTCCCCTACCTCCTAGCAGTATAATCCTGGACACGTTATATAATTTGAAGAGACTCGCTTACTCATCTGGAAATGGGTAGTAATGTTACTTACCTTGTGAAGTTGTGATACTAGTTAAGGTGATGTTGGTACAATGAAAAGTGATCAGTAATTCTTAGGTTACTATAAACCTTCTTGCCTGGATGACTCTAAGTCACCTTTCAAGGCAGAGCTGAGACATCACCTCCTCCAGGGAGCCTTCACTGGCTACTTCCCTTTCCCACCAACTTGAAGCATTGATTTTCCTTTATGATCCCACAGCCCCTGCTCTGTGAAGGTCTATTTTCTTATCTGACTCCCTCACCAGATTTGAGTCCCTTTTAGGTCAGAGACCTGGTCTTAAAAGTCAGTATTTCCCATACACGGTGGAGGGTCTGCTCTGTGTTTGTGAATTGAATACTGGATGTATGAGGGAAAGGCTGCTGGCATGATGGGTGCATGCTCAGAGTGCCCTGCTCTGGGCTGGAGAAAAGCTATTCAGAACTGGCCATCTCCTGTGAACTTTCCTGGGAGGACCACGGTGGCAGAGACGGTGTTTATCTTCAACTCCACTGAAGTTCCAGCCCCAGTTCTTGGCCATGTAGTAGGCCCTTTGTTAATTAGGGTATAGTTAGGGAAACAGAAACCACTCTAGGTGTTTCAGACAGAGGCAATTCAGCATGGGGAGCTGGTTACACAAGTGATGGAGGAGCCAAGATGCCAAACAGAGAATAGTGGGGCAACCCAGAGATCAGGGACTGCAGGAGGCTGCAAGCAACCCTTAGAACTCGTGGGATAGCAGGAGAGGGAGAAATAACCAGAATCCAGAGTCCAGAAATAACCAGAGCCCCAGCAGGCTGACTGGCAGGAGATTGGACTATGGCAGGCCTGCTTGAGGAAAGATGGAGCCACAGACAGGATACAGCCACTGCCTGAGCAGCTGCCCAAGGAAGGGAGTGAGACAGAGAATACACTGCCTTTCCATCATCCTCCAGTCTGTCTGTCTGTCTGTCTGTCTCTGTCTCTCTCTCTCTCTCTCTCTCTCACACACACACACACACACACACACACACACACACACACACACACACACACCGGCAATGCAAGGCAGAACAGGGAAGCACAATAAATAGATCTGAGGGCAAACAGTCGAATGACCAATACAAGGCTCAGTAAGTATTTGTTGAGTTAATAACTCACCTGGCTTAGTCTAGATTAAGGGGGAATTCACAAACTGCACCACCACACTTTATAGCCTATCTGTAAATACATTTGAGAGTCTGGGGGACCAATGTGAATCTCTGTGCCATTCTTCAAGACCCATGGGCTGTGAGCTGAGGTCCTGAGAAGCATGGCTTGAATCAGTCACATTGGGTTGTCCTTCTGACTCCAGCAGTCATGTTCTTGCTTAGCAAATGCTCTCACTTCCATGCATACCCTTCTTGGCTCCTGTTTGAGTTTAGTCCCTTCCTCAGTCGTCTCTGGAATACTGGAGCAGCCTCTTTCCTTATTGGTTGTAGTTGTCTTGATTCCAGAATTTCTTCCCTCTGATCTATCTTATCTTTGGTAGCAGATAAATCATCCCAAAGCTCAGTTCTGAGCTGGTCACCTCCTTGATAAAAAATGTTTAATAGCTTCCTCTTGTCTGTGGGATAAAGTCCCACTTCCTAAGCCTGAGCACTTAATCGTCACTGATGTAGCCCCAACAGTATTTTCAACTATTCCTGTTACATATTCTCTGCTCCCCTCAAATGGAGCTGCTATGTATCTCCTTGCCAGTTGCTCCATCTTGGCTTGTGCTATTCTCTCTAACCAGAGGCCCCCCTTCCCTCTCTTTGATTTTAAATCATACCTGTGCTTGAAGTTTTGGTTCACATCATATTTTGCGTTCCTGATGGGAGAAGTGATATTTTTCCCTACCTCTGAATCTCTGCAGCATGTTATCTGTACTTAGGACACTTACCACTTTCTACTTTGCCCTGGAATTATTGATGTGTGCGTTATCTGCCTGCTAAGGTTTTAGAAGGTAGAGACCATGGTGTTTTTTGCATTATGGTTCCCATAGCATCTAGTATACATTTTACAGTAGGCACTTTAAAATTTTTGTGGCATAAATGGTCGTGCGTTTATGTGAATGAACGAATGGATCAACAGACATATATACAAATGAATAAATGGGGTGAATGAGTAAGACCAACAGTTGTCCTGAGGCTCCATACAGCAGGCTACTACAGCCAGCCTGAAAGAGGATACAGCATAAGATGGACAGTCAACTTGGGTTACACTAGTTCCACGTATCAGGGAGGATCCAGACTGCTCTGGAAGGACCACCTTCTGGAGGAGAGTTTGGGGTAAACCACAGATCTTGAGCCTGCAAAAGCCATCCCCAGCACCCAGCCCCATTAAGACACTCACGTCAATGTAGTTGGCATTGATGTAGTCAGAGTGCGGGTCTCCATCCAGCACCAGCAGTCTCACCCGGGAATGGTCGTCTGCAGAGAGAGCAGAAATCAAGGGGATGGTTGATAAGAGGCCCTAGGTGAGGAGGCAGCTATGTCCTCCTTTGGAGCTACTGTTTGTTAATGACAGCACGGCATATCAGGCATTGTGCTACTCTCTCATTTAACTCTCAACACTACCCTCAGTTACTGTTCCCATTTATAGATGAGGAAGCGGAGGCTCAGGGAGGTAAGCACTTCTTATTTTTCTACCTTCCCTTCTGATTTTGTCATTACCTAACTGGATTAGTCACCTGTTTCTTTAAGTCTTAGTGATTTAATCATTAAAACGGGGATGGCAATACCTGCTTCATAGGACAACGTAAGAGAGACCATATAAAAACGCTCAGGACAGGAGAGTGCTGCATCTGGATTAATACACTCCATTTTCATGTGGTTTAAAAACAAACAAGTTTACCTATCTTCCGCACACGCACAAATTGCATTTTCATTTGCCCCTCGGAGTATTGTTGTAGATAGATTGTCAGCCATATGTTGTTATCAATACTATCATTAAAGTGAGGCTGACTAAATCATTGTAAAAGAGGTCATCAATAACTAAACATCGTGTTAGAGAGGATACCTTTTCAAACACAATCTAGACATAAACAAGATTTGCAGGCTTTATTTGATAGCATGCTTACTTCAAGTAACACCGAATGAAAACCATTAAAAAGAAAACTAGTACAGCAGAAGAATCAGGATAATCCTTTACAATTAATTAAGTGAGCTCTGACACGCTAATAGACACACACAAGTGGAACACTGGTTGGGTCTAGTTGGGAGGAGGGACTTTGGTTTGCTACCCAGGTCACTGTGCACCTATCATTGTGCAGTCACTGCATCCTAATTCACCTTCCTCTAGGGCAGGAATGGGGTCCCTAAGAAGTGGGCTGGAGAACTCTGGACATCCCCAAGGGTTTTCTGGGAGTCAAGGAGGTCAGGTCAGCTTATCCTCTTAGAATGATACAGCATTCTGCAGTTTACAAGGCACATTTATTTGCAACTAACCAAAACCCCCTTGAGAACTGGGACATTATGCTTTATTCCCTGCTCCATCCCCTGCACCTTTAAAAGATCCTGACATACAGCAGGTACTCAGTAATACATGGAAGAGGTATAATTGGATGACCTCGCTGGGTTCTCACAGTGACCCTGCAGGAGAGAAGTAGGACGGGTTCTGTTAGCCCTGGTTACAAATGAGGAAACTGAGGCTCCAGAAAGCCTGACTGGCCACATGGTCAGTGAATGCTAGAGCACAGAGGAGTGAAGTTATCTTAACTCTGAGTTCAGTCGCTCCTACTTCCAAAGGGGTGTAAGCATAATGTTAGAAACCACTTCAAATATACCTAGCAGAGGGAATTAACTACAGAGAAGTGGTTGCCTGGGTGACAGAAGCGTTGAGCAGCCAGATAGAAGACAGTGGAGAAACTCAGAGATAAGGAGCAACAATGAGAGACTGCCTGCCCTTGGGCTGAAGGGATGGAGGGAGGTGGTGGAATGCGCAGCGCTCAGGAGCTGGGGCCACCTGCTGGAACCTGAAGCCACAATGGGATTCTAGTAGGAGCTGGAGATGAGGAGGTGCTTCCCTTACTGCTAAGGAAGGCAACTGTAGTTGTAATACCCTGGCTTCTCCCTTTCTTCTTCTCTCCAGTCTCCCAGTGCATGTCGTTGCCCAAACCTAGACAGCTGACAGGAGAGCCTGAAAAATGCAACCTACAGGGGTCAGTTACCTGCAATAGTAGAGTGGGAGAAGGTAAGGAATGGGTCCTGTTATGGACAAACAGGCCTAGGGCTGGTATAAGACACACCCCATATCTATCCATTCATTTAAGAATCATTCATTGACTATCTGCCATGTGTCAGGCAGGCACTGTGCTAGACGGCGGGTTATACTAAATGCCACTTTTCTTATTCATCGGGGGAAAAGTTTCAGTAGAAGCAACTAGAGGGAGCAGGTGGGTGGTCTAAGCAATCCTTTTGGGTGGGTGGGAGAGTGGAGTGTGACATGGGGGAGGTGTTTGAAGTTAACCTTTATTGAATTCATGGTAGGTACCAGAAACTTTACATACATTATCTCGTTCAATCATTTATGCCTCAAAATAGCCATATAGGTTATTATAAGGATACCAGAGTGATATGGTATTATGAGTCTTCCCATTTCACAGATGAAGGCACTGAGACTCAGAAAGATTAAGCAAATTTCCAAAGTTATGCATCATGTGAGTGGCAGAGAGGACTTCTCGATTATGATTTTCTGACCCTGAAACCCTACTCCGTCCACATAACTTGCTGCCCCAGAGCCTCAGGCATCTCACAGACACTACAGCTGGAGTCTGTGCAAACAGTTGGTCCCCAGTTCCTGCAGGATTCTAGCCCCAAAGAGGACTCCCTGGGGGACAGCCCATCCAGCAGGCTGGAATTCAGACAAAGCCTGGCACCTGACTCTCAGCCCAGGGCATCAGGCCTCTGTTGCCAGCAGTTCCAGAAGCTGTAGGCCTTAAAAAAGTGAAAATGCACATTGTGTTTTCACTCAATGGTCTCATTATGACTTATTGATTCAGAAATCTCCTTTATTTGTTGAGTTATGCCTCCCTGGGGCCCATAGCACTGGAAACAGAGATTCTGGTTTAAAATGTTGAAAGGGAATTTTTAAAATATAAAATGAAGTTGAAAAACCAGAAAGCAAAAATGATGAAAAACAAAACAAAAAGAAACAAACTTATTTATTCTAGTTAAGTGTTCTTACGGATGAAAGCGATCTCTAGCCACCAGATGATGGTGTTTGACAACATCTCTCCTTCATTTAGTAAGAACTTGTTTACTGCATACCTACTCTGTGCCAGGCTAGTGGAAGGGATTAAGAAAGTGCTATCAAATGTGATACTCATGTTAAGGAGTTTGTCAATTTAGTAGAGACAGACTATACGCAGAAGCAAAACTTCCAAATCTAGAAGATGGGGAATAGAGGGCTTTGTGTAGTGACATGTGAATGAGGAATTAAAAATGAGTCAGGTTTGGCCAGTGCACAATGAGGAAGTCTTTCCATCAGAGGGAACTGCTAGAGTGAAGGCAGATATCCTGAAAAAAGCAAGCACAGTTGGGGAGCTGCAAGGGTCTCCTATCCTGGGAAAACAGAGTGTGAGGGGAACAGCGATGGGAGGGGAGACAGAGGAGGCAGCAGCGGGTGTTTCATTCAGAAGGCTCTCCATGCCCTGTGAAGCCACGGAGACCCAAGGAATCATGCTGGGCTCTGCAGGGCAGCCTAATACAGTGTTTCTTTTCTGGGACAGTGGAAAGGTGCTTTATTATGATGTTACCAAAATTCATGCCTACACAGCTAACTTATGTCAAGTGAGATTAACTTTTAATATATGATGTGAGATATGGAGCTGTGATCAGATTTGGCTTCAAATGTTAGCTCCATCACCTAGCAAATCAATTGATCGCTCTTAGCTGTGGTTTCCTTAACAAAATGGAGCCAATACTACATGGCACGAGAGGATTAAATGAGAAAACATAGGTGTGAAAAGTGCTAGGACATGAAGAAATGAGAGGACAAGCCACAGACTGGGAGGAAATATTTGCCAAACACATATCTCAGAAAGGACTTTTATCAAAAATACACAAGGAACTCTTAAAACTCAGTGAGAAAACAAATGACCTGTTTAAAAAATAGGGGAAAGATCTGAACAGACGCCTAATCAAGGAAGATGTACAGATGGCAAATAAGCTTACAAAAAGATGTTTAACATCATGTGTCATTAAGAAATTGCAAATTAAAACAACAGGATACCACTACATACATATTAGGATGGCCAAAATCCAAAACACTGACACCACCAAAGGCTGGGGAGGATGTGGCACAGCAAGGCCTGTCATTCACTGCTGGTAGGAATGCAAAATGGTACAGCCTCTTTGGAAGACAGTTTGACAGTTTCTTACGAAACTAAACATACTCTTACCATACTAGGATCCAGCAATTGCACTTCTTGGTATTCACCCAAATGGGGTGAAAACTTATGTCCACAGGAAAACCTGCACATGTATGTTTATAGCAGCTTTGCTTAAAATTGCAAAAACTTGGAGGCAACCAATATGTCCTTCAATAGGTGAATGGATAAACAAATTGTGGTGCAGATGGTCCCTCCCTTAGGATGATTAGACTTAGGATTTTTTGACTTTATCATAGTTCCAAAGCAACATGCATTCAGTAGAAACCATAATTTGAGTACACATATAATTGTTCTGTTTTTAATTTTTGGTACAGTGTTCAATCAATTCCCTGACATATTCAATACTGTATTATAAAATGCCACTTTGTATTAGATGATTTTGCCCAACTATAGGCTAATGTAAGTGTTCTGAACATGTTTAATGTAGGCTAGGCTAAGCTATGATGTTTGGCAGGTTAGGCATATTAAATGCATTTTTGACTTATGATATTTTAAACTTATGGGTTTATGGGCATATAACCTCACTGTAAGTCAAGGAGCATTCATCATATATCCATACAATGGCATATGGTTCAGTGAGAAGCAGAAATGAGTTATCAAGCCACAATAGACATGGAGGAAACTTAAATGCATACTGCTAAGTGAAAGAAGCCAATCTGAAAAGGCTCCATACTGCATGATTCTGACTATATGACATTCTGGAAGAAGATAAAACTCTAGACACAGGAAAAAGAGCAGTAGTTTCCAGGCACATGGGAGGAGGGAAGGATGAATAGGTGAAGCACAGAGGATGTTTAAGGCAGTGAAACTATTCTATACAATAGTGCAATAGTGGATATATGTCATTGTACATGTGTCAAATCCTATAGAACTGTACAACATAAAAAGCAAACCCGAATAAACTGCGGACTTTAGCTAATAATAATAAATCAATATTAATTAATTGTAATGAATGTACCACAATAATGCAAGATTTAATAATAGGGGAAACAGTACGTGGGTGGGAGGGAGTACATGGGAATGATGTACTTTCTGCTC